TTATGTAAATTTACAATTAAATAAATTATATTAAAACAAGGGTGATAAGTATTTAAAATTCACCACTTCCAAATCCTCTTACTGCCTTTCACCATCATCTCTAGAGGTTATTTGCATCTATAGTATCTATATGGTGGAAATGCTATATAACGTTGTGCTACTGCACATCTCTTCTCAACTCTATGTTTAGTGATGTTCCATTGATAGCTTGAAATCAGTAATAGTGGGAGTATTTACACCACAGAAATGGGTGAACACTACAAATTGGGGCTGTTTTTGTTTTTGTTTTTTTTTTCTGGAGAGCTGTTTGCTAAACATTTACCAGCATGCCACTGGTTTGGTGATAATCTTCTCAACTTTGTCCTTTGCTTATGTCTCTATATCTCCCTATCTATGAAGTAGATATTTGGGGAGGTGGTTGCTAGTCACCCACTATGCAAACCTCTTCTTATTTCTACACAATCTCACACTGTGTACACTGTTGGTAAGGCTCAGGCTCTACACCTTCTATGGAAGCTGCAGAGGGACATTCATTCCCTGCTTTCACTTCTTCACAGCCCAGGAGTAGGCAGTTGGCCTAAGCTGGCCAACTGGAATGCTTCCAAATGGACTTTGAATCTGGAGGGAGTGCAGACAAGACTCAGGGAGAGTTTATGATGACTAACTGCACCTGCAGCCCGTGAGGAGGGGTTGCAGTGCCAGCAGGAAAGTCCTCATCCGCAGGTTCCTGCGGCATGACTTCAGTGTGGCTATGGTGTAACTTCAGCCATATGTCCGTGCTGCCTGACCTCCCTTGAATCCTGCCATTATCCAAGGAAAGCACCAAGCAAGTCTGGGACATTTTGTAGTGCTAGAAAGTAAAAAAGTATTCAAAGAATGATGGAGACATGTCAGGACACAGAAGCTATCTGAAAGGAATGTACACTGACCAAATCTGGGACAGATTTGAGCATCAAAATAAATGGTAGCAATGGCTTACAACCCATTGATTGAAATAGGAATCCATACTGATAAAAATAAATATATACGTAAATAAAGGGGAAGAGAAAGCTCTTCTTCACTGTGGAATGTCAATTAATGCAAGTAGCTGGAATAATGGAAACAGAAAAATCACCATTTGGCAATTATTGCAGTAGAGTTGATTTATGCAATATTTATTAATGGATACTATACCTGGAGGATGGAGGTTCGATGAGGAATTAGGATATTAGGATAGTTTCAGAGTATTTCCTCAGAAAATACTTACTAATTACAAAGGCAAAAATGGTTAAAAAAAAAAAAAAAAGTGTCTTTACAGTGGAGGAAGCTGGCAGACAGCCCCTGGTTTAGGTGATCGAGGTGGTGGGATGGGCTGACATCATGTGCTTCCTGATGTGATACACTGAGAAGAGTACGGCCTCATTTCTTGGGTGTTATTGTCGCCCGGAATATATAAGTCTAGATACAAGGCAACACAAGACGGACCCAGGTTGGGGGACATTCTCTAGAATCTAAGGCCTGCACTCTTTAAAACTGTCAAAGTCACGAAAGTCAGATAAAAAGTGAGGAAATGTTCCAGATTATTAAAGACACACCATAAATAAACGTAATACATGGATTGGATGGTCCTGGATTGGATCCTGGACCAAAAAGGAAAAGAAAACATTGTTCAGACAGTTGGTGAAATTTGAATGGGGTCTGTGGACTCGAAGGTAGTGTCTTCCAATGTTAATTTCCTGATTGGGAGGTGTCATGGTTTGAATTATTTCCCCCCAAAAATGTGTGTTTCAATTCGGCTAGGCCATGATTCCTGGTACTGTGTGATTTTCCTGTATGTTGTAAAACTGCCTTTATGATGTTAATGAGGGAGGATGGGTGGCAGTTGTGTTAATAAGGCAGGACCTGATCTACAAGACGGGAGTGTGTCCTGAGGCAATCTCTTGAGATATAAAAGACAGAAGTGAGCGTTGAGACAGGGGGACCTCATACCATCAAGAAAGCAGTTCCAGGAGCAAAGCGCGTCTTTTGGACAGGGGTCCCTGGGCTGAGAAGTCTGGGGTAACACTGAAGAGAAGAAGGCCGACAGAGAGAAAAAGCCTTCCCCTGGAGCTGACGCCCTGAACGTGGGCTTTTAGCCTACGTTGACTGTGAGGAAATAAACTTCTCTTCATTAAAACCATCCACTTGTGGTATTTCTGTTTAGCAGCACTAGGTGACTAACACAGGAGGGTTGCGTGAAGGCTATAGAAGAATATACTTATTTGGGAGAAATACATGCTGAAATATTTCGGGGTGATGTGGCATCATGTCTGCAACTTGCACTCAAATTGATTATAAAAAGAAAAATGATAATGGGTATATATATATATATATATATATATATATGAGTACACACACGTATATAAACAAACCAGATGTTGTTGAGTCCAACTCATGGCAACCCCATATGTGCAGAGTAGAACTGTGCTCCATAGGATTTTCAAGACTGACCTTTTGGAAGCAAATTGCAAGGCTTTTCTTCCAAGGCACCTCTGGGTTCAAACCATCAACCTTTCAGTTAATAGCTGAATGCTTAACATTTGCATCACCCAGGGACTCCCCTATATAAATATACATACATATATATATAGAGAGAGAGAGAGAAAAGATGGTAAATGTTAACAGTTGAGGAATCTGCTTTAAGGAGATAAGAGTGTTCTTTGTACTTTTCTTGTGACTTTTCTGTAAGTTTGAAATTATTTCAAAATACATTATATTTTAAAATTTACGGCTGCGAACTATTTCAGAAAGACAAAGTGCTTCCTCTCTGCCTATAAACATGCTCAAATCTCTCCCACCCTAACAAAGTAAAACTAAAAACAACACAAAATAATGAAGCTAGTCTCCATTTACTGTCGCCACTTCCTCCCTGCTGGGCATCAGGATGTAGAGGAAACACCACTGGGCCTGGTGTCAGGAAGTCTCTGTTTGAGGCTGGCTCTGCTACTTCCTAACTGTGTGGCTTTGGTCAAATCATGTAACCTCTCTGAGCCTCAGTTTCCTGATTTATGAAATGGGAATAATAGTATCTGTCTTACAGAGCTGCCATGGGCATCGAGTGAGAGGAGGGTATGAAAGCAGGTAATAAGTTATAACATGTTTGTCTTAGTTACCTAGTGCTGCTGTAACACAAATACCACAAATGGGTCCTTCAAAGAACAGAAATTTAGATGGGATAATTTGGGAAGGGATAACAGTGACGGTTAAACAACACGATGAACATAACTAATGTCACTGAACTGTACATGTGATGATTGCTGAAATGTCGAATGCTTTGTTACATATCTATTTCCCACAATAGAAAATATTAAAAAAAAAAAAAAACAAAAACCACAGAAATTTATTTTATCATAGTTCTGGAGGCTAAAAGTCCCAATCAGGGTCTCTGCCATGGGGATTCCTTCCTTGTTGGTAGCCCCCAAGGGTTCCTTGGTTCCTTTGTATTCCTTGACTTGCAGATGATCCTCACATGACCTCTGTCTTCTCCCCTATGTGTGTCTCTGTGTTTGTTCTGGTCCTTTTATAACTCAGAAGTTATTAGGTTTAGGATCAACCCTACACTGGTATGACTTATTAACATAAGTAAAGAAAAACTCTATTTCCAAACAGGATCACATCTGCAGGTACAAGGGCTAGGAATTCAACACAAATATTTGGGGGACACAATTCAATCCATAGCAATATTCTACAAATACTAACTGCAGATGATCCCTGCACCGGGATCACTTTAACACCTGGTGATACACACAGGAGTATTGCTTTTATATCCTGCTAGAATGCAATCTCTTCTTCGAGCTCTGCCTGCCCTCTGCAGGGTTATAAGAAAAGTGCCATCTATCTACTAACTGGAAACCCTAGTGGCGTAGTGGTTAAGTGCTACGGCTGCTAACCAAAAGGTTGGCAGTTCAAATCCACCAGGCTCTCCTTGAAAACTCTATGGGGCAGTTCTACCCTGTCCTGTAGAGGCGGAATCAACCTGATGGCAATGGATTTGGTTCTATTGATCAACCCTGCCAGGCCCCTCAGCCTACCTATCCAGCACAGGTGCCCACTTGGTTCTGTTTCTGGTCCTTTTCTTCTCCATCTACCTGCTCTTTCTGGAGTCTTTCATTTGTTCCCATCCTTCAGGAACCTCCATTATTATGCTGATGACATTCACACTCACACCTTCAGCACTGATTTAAGCTTTAGAACCTATTTCCATCTCTGAGTATTCCCACAGGCACTTCAAATTCACCTTGGGCAAGACTATCCTGTTGCCTGTTTATCTTCCTATGTTCTCTTCCTTATTAAAATACTACTTTCCCTCCAAATACTTTGACTAGAAACCTAGAAGTTATCCATTCATTTATCATTTGCTTTTTGAGCATCTGCTATGTGCCAGGCACTACTCTAGGCACTTTGCATTCTTGGTTTGCTTTATTCCTTGAAAGAACCCTGTGAAGTAAATATTACTTCATCTCCATCTTACAAAGCTGGAATCTGAGGTTCAAAAACCTTAAATAACTTTGAGTTCAAGGTTGCACAGCTATTAAACGGTGGAACTGGAATTTGATAATAGGCTTGTCTGACTCCAAAGTCCATTCTCTAATCTTAATCTCTAAATCATTATACTACATTGACTTCTTTCTGAATTTCCATATATAATTGCTCATTGATTCTTGTTAATTATATTACTGAAATGTCTCTTGAATCAGCTCTTTCTTTGTTCACTGCTGCTACCTTGTTCATACACTCATCTCACATATATTTAGATACATTTTATAGGTTTTGTTTTTCTGAATTATAAATGTGATATATACCGGCTGTAAGAAAATTCATTACAGATCTAGCTAGTGAAAGCTCCCCCAATCCCAACCTCTAAAGCTAACCACCCTTAACAGTATGATATACATTCCTCAATTTTTTCTATGTATATGCTGATGTACTGTGCCTATTTAAATGGCTAACATCATTTTAAAACTCGTTTTTCCTATTTCATGTAGCAGCAATACAGATTCTTTGTTCTTTTTTTAATTAGGTAAAATCTACACGTTTTATACAAAATTCAATAGGCACAAAAGAGTATATTACGAGAGTAAGTCTCCTACCCATGTTCCCGAGCCACCCATTGGCAACTGCTGTCACCAGTTTCTTGGATAGCCTTCTGCAGGCTCATTTATTTTAATAGCTGCATAGCTTCCCATTGTATAGCTGTGCCAAAATGTATTTAACTATATCCACTAGAAAGACACTTAGATTGTTTCCAATGTCATTATCCACTGTGATCTAAATTCCATGTCAGTTCTTATCAATTACTTATCACTCTTAATTCGTGGTAGCTCCATGGTCTTTCAAATTGTATAGATGCGCCATAATTCATTTGCCCATTTCCCTACTGATGGGCATTTTGACTTCCAGGGTCTGTCAACTTGCTGCCATTTCCCCAGCAAGAGTTTCTTAGGTACTCCTCCACCGAACTATGAACTCCTCAAGGGCAGGGGGAGTGTTCATACTCATCTTTGTATCCTCATAGCCTAGCCCGGTGTCTGGTCCGGAGTTTGTGCTCACTAAACTTGAGTGTAATAATAATTGAATCGCCCGCGCAGTGTTCTTGAAGTAGGGGAGGCAGGGCGAGGATTGTCCGGATCTCACAGTTCCCGGAACTTTTGTTGGAAGAATGGTTGTTTCTCGGGAAGGATTTTTGGCTTCAAAGCGTGCCCTGCACAAGTATGGCCGCCACGACCCGGAAGTAGCCTTTTATTTTGCTGGAGTCAGGTCTTCCGCGGGGCGGAAAAGGCATGTCTGCATGTGTCCCGAATCTTTCGAGTCCCCTTTCCTTGCAGGATCCCATGAGTAAGCTGTGGCGGCGCGGGAGCACCTCCGGGGCTATGGAGGCCCCTGAGCCGGGTAAGCGCGAGGCGACCTAGCAACTTCCTCAGCCCTCTGAGTCTTCAGGGTACTCTGCCACAGGTGGGAAGGAGAAAGGGAGTGTTGTTATGGTAACAGCGAGTACCGAGGGATGAGTGGTACCTCTCACAGGTGTAGATTTTTCGGGGCTTTCCTCGCCCGACCCCGCCCGCGCCCAAGTCGAAAAGTCCGTGACAAGCCCTCCTTCCGCAGGGGAAGCGCTGGAGTTGAGTTTGGCGGGTGCCCATGGTCACGGAGTGCACAAGAAGAAACACAAGAAGCACAAGAAGAAACACAAGAAGAAACACCACCAGGAAGAGGAGACCGGGCCCACGCAGCCGTCTCCTGCCAAGCCCCAGCTCAAACTCAAAATCAAGCTGGGTGGGCAGGTTCTAGGCACCAAGAGGTGAGGTCAAGAGGAATTCTAGGAGTAGGCAGAGATGGGAGAGGCTGGCTGGGCGTTCTGAGAGGCAGAGAATGGACAGTTTGACCCCAGGGTCCAGGTTAAGGGAGCAGGAACCCGAGAGGGTGGGGAAGGCTAGATGTAGCCACTGGGGAGGGACATTCTGAGAAGATCCTTCTTCAGCTTACAGAGTGGTGTTGCTTCTCTGCAGTGTTCCTACCTTCACTGTGATCCCTGAGGGGCCTCGCTCACCCTCTCCTCTTATGGTTGTGGATAATGAAGAGGAACGTATGGAAGGAGTTCCCCTTGAGCAGTACCGTGCCTGGCTGGGTGAGAAGGATCTGGAGGTGGGGTAACTGGGTTCCTCATTATACCAGGCTGGTTAAGGGAGGGGTTGTTTCTGAGAGGTGAGAACTTTGAGTGCCCCAGTATTAACTTGGCCAAATCAGGTCACCCCATCTGAACAATTCTGCTTTTATCTCTTCCACTTTCCTTCCAGATGAAGACAGTAATCTGTCTCCCCCGCCACTTCGGGACCTGGCAGGTAGCTTAGGGGGCCAGGAGGAAGAAGAGGAACAGAGGTGGCTGGATGCCCTGGAGAAAGGGGAGTTGGATGACAATGGAGACCTCAAGAAAGAGATCAATGAGCACCTGCTTACTGCTCGGCAGGTAAGTGGGTTCATTCTTTATTCAGTCCCCAAAGGTATATTGAGAACTTTCCACGTCTCAAGCACTTTGCTAGGCAGTGGGGATATCAACGGTGGAGAAATGAGAGGCAAGGCTTCTATTCTCATGGAGCTGGTATTCGGGCGCAGTGTGAGGGGGGTTGTTGCTGCTGTTAGTTGCTGTCTGAGTCGATTCCAAGTCATGGCGACCTCATGTGTACCGGGTAGAACTGCTCCATAGGGTTTTCAAGGCTGTGATCTTTTGGAAACAGATCTCCAGGCCTTTCTTCTGAGGCACCTCTGGGTGGGTTCAAACCACCAACCTTCTAGCTAGTAGTCCAGCAATTAACCTTTTGTGCCACCCAGGAACTCCCTTCTGGGGGGTGGGGAGGGTTAATAAGTAAATAAGTAATTTTAAAAACTGTAAGTCTGTGATGAGAAGAAAATAGGGTGATGAAATAGAAAGCAGCCAAAAAGAGACAACATTAGATACGGTGGTCAAGGACAGCCTCTCTGGAGAGATAACATTGCAAATACCAGAGGAGCTTTTCAGGCAGAGACACCAGCAGGCACAAAGACCCTGAGACTGGAACAGGCCTAGCAGGGTCAAGAAGAAAACACACGGCTAAGTCATTGAAGGGTAGTATGCAGAGAAGTGACATAATCTGATTTACATTTTAATAGACTACTTTTGCCTCTGTGTGGAGAATGAATCTTAGTAGGAGTAAGAGATAGAAGCTGGGAGACTAGGTAGGAGGCTGTTGGAATAGTCAGGTGAGAGATGGTGGTGGCTTGAACCAAGATGGAAATAGTAGAGATGGATCAGATCAGATGGATTCTGATTCTGTTTTGGAATAGACACCTGTTGGGATGGGAGGAGAAGAAAAGAGGAATCAAGGATAACCCTGAGTTTTTGGCTTGAGCAATTATCCAATTGATGTCATCTATGGAGTATTTTTTTTTTAAAGCTGTCCCCCCTCACCCCCCCCCCCAAAAAAAAAAGCTTTGTAGGGGTTGGGAGAAATCCAGAGTTTGGGTACGCAATGCAGGCAGGTAACAGCACTGATGCTTTTCCCCTTGAGAGTCAAAGACCTAAGACTGAATGTCAGGAGACTGGGAGAAGACAGTACCTGCCACCTCCAGGCCCTGCCTTCAATGTCCCCTCTCCCCCATACCCTTCCTCCCCGTTTCGGGTAGATCTCGCCACTCTGGCTTCTCCGTTTTCTGACACCGCCCCGTCTGTCTCCCGCCAGCGAGCTCTGCTCCAGAAGGCGCGGAGTCAGCCTTCCCCGATGCTGCCGCTCCCCATGGCTGGGGGCTGCCCTGCCCCCGCCCTCACTGAGGAGATGCTGCTAAAGCGGGAAGAACGGGCGCGGAAGCGGCGGCTGCAGGCTGCGCGGCGGGCAGAGGAGCACAAGAATCAGACAATCGAGCGCCTCACCAAGACTGCGGCGCCCAGCGGGCGGGGAGGCCGGGGGGCCGCGCGGGGCGAGCGGCGAGGAGGGCGGGCCGCGGTCCCGGCCCCCATGGTGCGCTACAGTAGCAGTGCACAGGGCTCCACTCTGTCCTTCCCACCTGGCGTCCCTGCCCCCGCTGCAGTGTCCCAGCGGCCATCCCCATCAGGCCCTCCTCCGCGCTGCTCTGTCCCCGGCTGCCCCCACCCGCGCCGCTACGCCTGCTCCCGCACCGGCCAGCCGCTCTGCAGCCTGCAGTGCTACCGCATCAACCTGCAGATGCGGCTGGGGGGTCCCGAAGGCCCGGGATCACCTCTTTTGGCTACTTAAGGCAAGGACCTAACCCGGACTCTGCGCCCTCTACTGGTTTTAATGTCTTCCCCTTTCCCCCACCCTATTAAATTTCATCCGGTGCCTCGGCTTGTACAGAATTGGGGTAATGGGATATGAGCAGACCAGTCCCTCGTACACACACCTTTCCCCCACTGCAGCCTGTGCAGACACCTGTGGCCTGTAAACGGCCGCAGGAAGACCCGCGAGTCAGTACCCAGCCTCGGCCGGACCTTTGGGTTCCCGCCTCTTGGAGCGGGGATTACCTGGCGTAGTATGGCATGTGGCGTCATCCCGAAAGTACGGCTCCAGCCAATCAGCGGAAACTTTGATCTTCTGGTCGACCGTTCATTGGATGATAAGACGGAGCCTGCTCTATTACCCGCTATTGGCTTTTGTTGCTGTCAGTCAGCGCCGGGTCGAACCTTCCCCCACTCTTTGTCTGTGCAAGCTCTTGTTGTCTGGGAGAGGGGCTGAGGCGCTGCTCTAGATTGGTCACAGGGCGAAATCCCTGATCTGTTCCTATTGGCCCGTCCGTTGAAGGGCGATGTTGATTGGTAGGACAGAGCAACCTGGGACCTAGTTGGCAGAGCTCTCCCCGGATGGAAGCTGCGGACGCGGAGTGATGGTGGCGCCCGCGAAGATGGGCCGGGCAGGGACCATGGTGGTGGCGGCAGAGGTGGCAGGGGCGGGGCGGCTGGCGGTAGAGGAGACTCTGGTGTTCAGGGGGCTGTAGGTGGAGGAATGGCTCGGGCCAGCAGCGCAAACGACAGCGAGGAGGCCTGGGGGGCACTTCGGGCGCCGCAACAGCAGGTATCCCAACAGCTCCAAAAGCCTATCACGACAGCCATTTATGTTTCTTTCCCCTTTCCTTGTCCTTTCCTTTTGGTGGGTGGGGGAGGAACTCACGGAGCCAAAGATACAGTGGCGTTCCTAAACATGCCACTTCCACTCTTTGTCTAAACTTTGTAACGTAGATGAAGCTGACTTTGCCTGCAGCCTCATAGACCCCATCCCATGGCTGCAGTGGAAGTTTGCAGTGGTTCTCCAGTGGCCAGAGGCATAGCGAGGCCCCCACTGTCTTGCAACAGTTATTTTTGATGTTTTTCTACATGCCTGTTGTCACGACAGAGTCCAGCAGCGTCTTCTCTTGAGGGAGCAATTTGGAGAAGAGCTGGAACCCAGACTCGCGCCCTGGATGCCATCCTTTATCATCCACAGCAATCCCATCTGGTTGGGAGCACTATTCTGGGTCTCACACTGCCCCTCCTCTACCCTAGGGAGCCTGAGACCCAGGGGTGGACAGATCCAGCTTGGGTTGGGGGTGGACCGTGGGGGATGATGAAAGCAGCTTTGGAAGTGACTTTAAACCCCTTACCCATTATCTGAGTCAATGTCTTATGACTACTGCCAAGACACTCCTGTAACAGAAAGCACCTGGGGAACCAACCTTGGGAGTGAGAGAAATCTTGTATATGAGATCTAAAATCTGTTTTTGTCCATACCTTGCTTCGTGTTCTCTAGATTGATTCTTGCTATTCCAAACCCTCTTCCACGTTGACAGCCCTTTGGATATTTGAACACTCCTCAGCACCCTCTCCTGTCCCTTCATAGGCCTCTCCAAGCTAAATTTGGTTCACAGGGTGGGATTGTGTATGTGCATGCAGGGAGTAGGGGTGAACAGTGCCTTGGGCTGAAATCACCCGTGGTTTTAAGTGCCTCCTTGTCCCCAGCTTCGAGAGCTGTGTCCAGGAGTGAACAACCAGCCCTACCTCTGTGAGAGCGGCCACTGCTGTGGGGAGACTGGCTGCTGCACCTACTACTACGAGCTCTGGTGTGAGTCTCCAAGGGACTGTCCTCAGGTCCCTCTACCTACCCTCCCTTGGACTTCAGAATTCCAGCCTTCAAGGACCTTCTCTGCCTAGGAGGTGTCTGAGACACTCCCTCCTCACCTCCTGCAGGGTTCTGGCTGCTCTGGACTGTCCTCATTCTCTTTAGCTGCTGTTGCGCCTTTCGCCACCGACGAGCTAAACTCCGGCTGCAGCAGCAGCAGCGGCAGCGTGAGATCAACTTGTTGGCCTACCATGGGGCATGCCACGGGGCTGGCCCTGTCCCTGCTGGTTCACTGCTTGACCTTCGTGAGTGATTTGAGGCTCTGGGCCAACTACCAGTGGTCCCTCTCAAACCAGGACCCAGAATCACTCCCACATTCCCTTTTGCAGACATCTCAAAGCACCCTGTTCCCTCATAGGAAAGAGACCACCCAATCCTGATTGCCTTCAGTAAACTCTGCCATTCTCTCCCCTGCAGGCCTTCTCAGCGCCTTCAAACCCCCAGCCTATGAGGATGTGGTTCACCGCCCGGGCACACCACCACCTCCTTACACTGTGGCCCCAGGCCGCTCCTTGACTGCTTCCAGTGAATGCACCTGCTGCTCCTCTGCATCTAGCTGCCCTGCCCACTGTGAGGGAACAAATGTGGAAGGTGTTTCTTCCCACCAGCGTGCCCCCCCTCATCAGGAGGGTGAACCTAGGGTAGCGGTGAACTCTGCCTCCACACCCCCCTCCTGCCGCTATCGCCGCCTAACCGGTGACTCGGGCATCGAGCTCTGCCCCTGTCCTGATTCCAGTGAGGGCGAGCCAGTCAAGGAGATGAGGGCTAGTGCCACCCCCGTAGATCTGGAGGACCATTCCCCTTGTGACCTGCCCCCAGAGTCTGTTCTCCAAGTTTCTCCTGTGGGGCTGGCTTCCAGTGAAGGGGACATCCCATAAGTAGTTTTGGGTGGATGGGTTACTTGTTCACCAGAAACAGCCCTGGTCCCAACTCCTTGAGTTCTCCTTGACCCCTCCCTGCCCTCCTACGATCTGCCTAAAGAGGCTGGAGCCCTGAGGAGAGAGGCAGTGTTTGGGGACTGTGCTAACTCCACTCCCCAAGACATACACAGGAGCCTTTGATCTCATTAAAGAGACATGAACCAGCTGCTTGTGGATTTGGGTGGACTAGAGTACAACTGGCTACATTGTACTTGATTTGACTGGATTCGGAAGGGATAGATAATAGCCACTTGTCCCATCTTCCCTGAGAGGACAACAGGCAACTGAGACCTCTTGATGAGGCAAAGCTGGCAAAAGCAACAGTGTTTGGCATGTTTTTCCAATTTATTTAGAAAAATAGACTCTGAATTTACATCCATCCCAGGGCTGTGTGGGATGACAGTGAAGAGACACCTGAGATGAGCTGAGAGTATCTGAGGGGCTGGGGGCAGAAGCCAGAGACCTTGTCCCTCCAGATCCAGAGGGGCACAAGGGGCCTGTTTCCCCTCCCATCCTTCCCTCTCAGTAGTCATCAGCCATGACCAACAGGACAAGGCTCGTCCAGCCCTGGAAAGGGCGGCAGCCCATGCCTCGCCCGTCCCGGTCGCTATACTGCTCCCATAGGAAGCCTGTGGCCCTGTACTGCCGCCACACATTGCCCACTACGTTGGCACGGAGCTCACTGTACAGCTTGGCAGCCCGAGCCTGGTGGGGACCCTCCAGATGCCCATAATGGTGGAGTGCCCCCAAGGCCAGGTAGTTGAGATTGAGCCACACGGCACCCCGCCAGTAAGGAGGATCGTGCTCTGAATTGTGCTGGCCGTAAAAGGAGCTGGAGGCTGCAAGGGAGCGCAAACCAAAGGGGCTCCAGAGATGGCGGCTGTCAGCTAGAACGTCCAGCAGGGGCCCAAGGTGGGACGAGCTGGGGCTCAGCAGCCGCAGCAAAAAGGGAAAAAGACTGACATAGCCCAGGGCATCCACATACTGCATTCGAGGTGGGGGCCGGCCCACCACCCGCACTAGCCCCTGATGGGGCCTAGGCTTCAGCTGCACTGCTTTTGTGTGGTTCCCGAAGTCTGCAAAGACCCCTAGCTCTGGGGCCCAGTGCAGCTCATTCAGGCCTGCTTCTGCCTCCAGTGAAGTAGCCAGTGGGCTCAGGTCGGCAGCTGCCTTGGCCTCCCCCAACTGCTCTGCCAGCCGCACCAGCACACGGGCACCCAGTGCCACCCAACACCGCAGATCCAGATGCCGCTCAGCAGTTGAAGGGTGTGAAGCCCGGGGGTAGTCATCCAGCCCTGATGATAGTGTCTTGGGGTTCAGCAGGTGTGGCAAGGCTGGATCCCGGCCCCGCCAACGGTATGATAATGGTACTGGCCCTGCCTGGCTCTGATGGAGCCAGGAGAACCAGGCATGCAGGCGGGGGAAGGCCCTGTGGAGGAAGGCCAAGTCGGCAGGGTCACCAGCCTCTAGCATGTGAGCTACAGGCAAAAGTAGGGTTGGGGGGTTGGCGTGTGCTGCCCGCTGCACTAGGAATTCTGGGGGTACCCGGGAGCGGGCCTCATCCCCCAGCACCTGCTCCCGTCCAATCCAGCCATCAGCATTGAGCAACCCCAGCCAGTGGCCTAGGGCCTCTCGGGTGAGGTGGGGATCCCAGCGTTGGATCACCAGCTGGTGAAAGCCCTCGTCCCAAAGGAAGCCGCGTGGGAAGAATGACCGAGAGGGCACCGCTGTGAAAAGAGGGACAGGAGGAAAGAGGACTGGGTCTGCCTTCTGCTCAGACCCCTCTACCCCTGTGTCTGGCAACACCAGACCTTGTCCGTAGAAGTAGCCGATCCCACCAAGCAGGCCACTGAGGGCGATCTGGCCCAAAGTCTGCTCTTCTGGGCTCAGGCCCTTCTTCTTCAGCTCGAAGGTCTTCTCAAAACGCTCTCTAAAGGCTTCCACATGGTTCTCCAGGGCTTGCGTCAGCCGGCTGCCTGCTAGCTGCTCCAGGGCTTGGCTTCCTCCCACCCGAGCACTGCCTGATTCAAACACCAACTCCACAGAAAACGGGACTTTCAGTGTCACCTGCTGTATCAAGAATTGCCCTTGTCCCTGTCTTTGTCCATTTGGGCTTCTGTCCTCCCACTTCAGAGACCTCGGCAAGCCAAGGTAGCGTTCAGGAGAGGCCCCTGGGGGCTGGTGCTGAAACCAGCTATTTAGGCGACTCTTCACCATCTCTGTCAGCAGGGGCAGTCCTGGGTTGGAGGACCAGAAGACATTGTAGCTTGAAGGGAAAAAGATAAATAGGAAACATTATTCAGGAGGAGGTAGTGGGGATAATATGAAGAAATACACAAGGACACCAGGAGTCAGGATAGGAGGGTCTCAGCAATGCAGGGGACATGGTGAGAAGGGAAATAAATGGTGGAAAAAGCGGGGGAGGGATAAACCAGGCTGGGTCTGGATCACTTTCATGGTCAGCTTCCATACTACCTCTACCACCAGCCCACACTCCTCTCCAGTTACCTGCCATACTTGGGGGCAGTATCCACTGGACTGGTTGGTGGCAGAAGTGTAAGGCGGAAATCACCAAGTTCATTGGTATGCCCACTGATGAACTTCAACTGCCCCTTGGCCCCAGCTTCTGGCACTAGGACTTCCTTGCCATCTGTCACCACATAGAAGAACAAGGAGACCAAAGGGAGGGCAGAGGTAGCCGAAGCCTGAGTGACCAAAGAAGATAGAAAAAAAAGTTTCAGATTGGCAGTCTCTCTTGGAAATCTGCCTCAGTGAGGGACGGGGACACCAGACAGGAGTAGTATGGTAAACATACGTGTGGCAGTGTCAAAGTTCACAGTGGGAAGGGATAAAGAGCCTTTAACAGGGTTCTCTGGGAAATAATCCAGAATTTTTGTGGTGGGTACTATTCTAAGAACTCAACAGATTATTTCATTTAATTCTTACAACAATCTTATGAGTTAGTTGCTATTGTCTCCATTTTACAGACCAGGAAACCAAGTGTTAGAAATGGTAAGAAGAGATGGTCATACAGGCAAGTGTTTAAGGCAAGATTCAAACCAGGCAGCCAGCCTCAGAGCCCCTGCTATTAACCGCAACTTCACACTGCAACGGGAAGGGTGGAGGGAGTCTGAGCTGAGGAAAAGGTGTCCTGGGGCCCTGACCTGAGGCTCCACAGTTACTCTCCAGCTCCAGTCCCCTCCATGCTGTCCCCCAGGCCTCTTGACGAACTCAGTGGTGAGCTTTAAGGCCCCATCTTGAATATGCTGCCGCCCGAAGGAGAGGCCGTCGTGAAACTCCCAGCCATAGGGACCCACGCCGTCTCCCTGCTCACACGTGTGCCTGAGTTTAGGGATCCCTGGGGTAGCACCCTGCTGGGCCCACATCAGTCCTAGGGATAGAATGGGCACATAAGTCAAAGAGAGAGGAGACCTGTCCTTCCTGGTCCCCGAGAACTTCAGGGTCATCTCTCTCCATAACTCTTTTGGTCTACTCTTCCCCACCCTTGCTCTGGCGTGAGACTATGGGCGCTCAGGTTAAGTCCACCCGTCTGCCCGCCCCGGGGCCCGGTTACCGGTAAGAAGGGGCTGCGGGCTGCGGGTCTTCATGCCGAAGTAGACGTGGGGGCGGTAGGTACCCCAGAAGAGGTCTGGAGCCACGGCAGGACTGGAGGAGTTGGGGGGCAGCGCCGGGGTTGCGGAGTGCAGCGTGACTGCTCGCCGCACACGGTACCACGCCAGGAGCCAGCGCCCTGACAAGCCCAGGGCCAGCGACAGGACCACGACGGCCAGAGCCGCCCCTCCAGCCGCGCCGTGGATCCCGCCTCCCTTTCGTGCGGCGCTGCTCCGAGCAGCCCTCTCGGCTGCCCGCACTCCCTCCGCCGGCGCTGCGCGGCGCCGCCGCTCGCCCCGAGTCATCTTGGAACGAAGGTCGGCGACGCAGGGGCTCGGCGTGGCGGCAGCCGAGATCTGGTGCTGCCTTGCCTCCCCAGATCGCGCTTACAACCCCGGCGACCACTGCTGTCAGCCACACCTGCCAGCCCGCGCCTCCCGCTCCGCTTCCGCCTCCCGGCGGAAGTCCCGCCTCGCCACGTCAAGTTAAGCTCCGATCCCAGAACATGGGGTTCAGCGGTGACGCAGGGGTCGAAACCTGGGTTCGCCTCGGGCCGGGACCGCTGGGTCAGTGCTTATTCGGCATCCTCACGGGGATCATAAGTCCAACCTCATTTTTTTTTTCCATAACGGTTATATATATTGAGAACCCGAGACGTTATCCCAAGTATTATACAGAAAACCGTGGCTTAGGAAGGTCAAGTAACTTGGCCTGGGCCACAGAGCTGCGAATTAGTTTCGAACCAAATTACATCTGAATCTTAGGCTGGATCACCCTGCCTGCACCCGCTGGTTCCTTTCCTCACAGAGTGGAGAATGCAGGAGTGACCCAAGAGGAGGCCTGAGTCCTGGTTGCGGCTATGTCTACGCGATCCTGCGATTTCAAACTCTGTACAAGAGGTGGGGCTAGAACAACCCTAAGAAGACCATAATAGTGGTGCATGCACTTAGAGAAGCAAACATCAAAGCAAAGGCGCTTAGGGAAAGGATCGCTTGTGCCCACTTAAGGGAAGGCTGTGGGAAGGCGGTAGCAGGGACACGTCAAATTGATCTACAAGTCAGCGTTACATTTGATGGCAGTTCATAATCGCAATTTAGATCGTAACTACTTCTTACCAACAGCCAGTACAAAAGGTATTTTCAGAAAGTATAAGTTCCTCCTGTCATTAAAAAAAAACCCCTACTCTGCAACCTTATGCTATTAATACACCCTCTGGCTATTTTATTTCCTATCCAAACTCATTATCTAAAACTAGTAATTTATCCTGCATGCGTACTTTCTTATTTCATTATAATCTCACTTCTGGCCCCACTCTCCACTGGTAGAGTTCTTGCTCATTCAACAATCACCTTCTGACCAAACCCAACCGTTGGTCCACAGGTCTTGTATCTTTCTTACTACCATTGTAATGGGTCTACATCTATTGTAGCACTTGTTACATACCTGAGTTCAACTACTCATATTTTTATCCCAGTACTAATCAGTTACAGATGCAAGGTAGATGCTAAATATTTGTAAATTCAACAAATGTTTATTGCATGCTCTGTATCTGACACTATGCGATGTCTTGGGGACATAAACAGCCCCAACCTCAAGTCCACAATCTAGAAGCACAGTGCCAGCACTCAATCTGTTTACAGCAATGGTTGAACCAAACCAAATTTTAAGATGAGGAAAGAGTTGTTAAGACTGGCCCAAGATAATAGTCGGTTAATCACGAACTAGGGAACTCAAATCCCGGCAGTGTTCTTTCGACTATAGCATGAGGACTCTTCGATGATAGTTACTATGCTCCCAGCAACATCATAGGCACTCTACAGATGTTAACTCATTTAATTCTCTCAACAGTCCTGTGAGGTAGAAAAATGAGAAAACTGCCACTGAGAGATTAAGTAATTCTGAGAGGATAAGTAAAAAGTCACATAGCTGCTCAAAGACAAAGCTAGGATTTCAAACCCAGGCAGCTGCAGCCTGACTCTTCACTACTATACTGCTGCCTCCTGCTGTTTTTCTTTATTAAAGGGGGAGGAGGGAGTACTTTAAAGATTAAAAACAAAAAAACTGTTGCCTTGGACTCATGGTGATACCATGTGTATCAGAGCAGAACTCTGCTCCACAGGGTTTTCAATGGCCGATTTTTCATAAGTAGATCATCAGGCCTTTCTTCTGAACTGCCAACCTTTTGGTTAACAGCTGAGCACTTAAACATTTGTGGCACCTAGGGACTATCCTTGTAAGTAGGGAAGCAGTGTAGTAATGATGTAGTCATTAGGCTTGTGGGAGATGTATTGGGCAAAGTACACAGCAGCCAAGGTGTGGAAGTCCTTAATTGCCTGGCTGAGCATTATGAAGTTCTCTAAACCAGTGGCTTTCAACCATTTTTTTTCTACAACCCATGGAAAGAAATGATTTTATATTGCTACCAAGTACATGCAGATACAGGAGCCCTGGTGGTGCAATGGTTAAGTGCTTGGCTGCTAACTGAAAGGCTGGCGGTTCAAACCCACCAGCGGCTCCATGAGACTAAAGACCTGGCAAGCTGCTCCCATAAAGATTACAGCCTAGGAAAGCTTATGGGGGCAGTTATGCTCCATCATATAGGGTCACTATGAGTCAGAATTGACTCGACACCACACAACAACGTGCAAATACACACACACACATAACTCTATATTTTATATAGATATATATATATATAATTAAGTATATGCTTAAAACCAAAGTTTCCTAAAAGAATACTTCCCATACCATGGGCCATGCACTCTGATACTTTTTATTCTATTTCACTTTTTTAAAGGCTGATTTAACCGCCTAAATTGATTCCATGATCCACATTATGGTGGTGTCCCAGTATGAAAAACACTACTTTAGGCACTGTTTCCTGAAACAGATAGTAGTGGGAGATAAAACCAGTGATGTGCTTTGAAAAGATAACATTAAACAGCAGCAAAAGAGATTTTAGACCAGGTGGGAGAGTTCAACAATGATACAGGAGAGTGAATGGGATGAGAGAACATTTCAGGAGCTTTTGTTTAAAACACAGTATTCTAAATTTACTGACTGAATAGTCAGAGAAAGGGAGAGAGCAGAGATAATGCTGTAGTTTCTAGCCCAAGTGACTGAGCAGATGAAGTGCCTTTAAAACGAATGGGGAAGTCAGAGGAAAGACAAGCATGTGTATGTAAGAGTATCAAAACTATTTTGGACAAGGAGTATTGGTGGGATTTGAGGGAGAGTAGTAGCAGGTAACCTGTGAGACTGTAGCACAGAAATTGGGATTACAGCCAAACAAAAATGCAGGGATTAACTCCAGAGAGGGTAGTTCCAGTTATGAGAGGATGAGACACTCCAGGAAGAATGCAGAGAGAGGATGAAGATAAACCTACAAAGGTAACTGAAGATTAAACATACTGAGAAGAATGAGGATCTAAGAAGAAGAGTTTCCACAAGGGGGTGAATTCCCAGTGACAGATGCTACTGAAATGGCAAGATAAAACTAAGGAGACAGCACTGGCTTAGGTTAACCTTAAGAGTAAGAGATATCTTGAGTTTGTGGTGGCAGAACTCAAACTCAAAGGGATTACTCGGTGAGTGATGTTAAGAAAGTGAAATAAGTTCAAGTTTATCCAGATCCCTCTCCAATTTTGTCTCGTTCCAGAAACAGTTGGATTTACAGTCGCAGGGCTTTTGGGGGTAGCGGGGGGGGGGAGGGGGGGAGTATGAGAGAGGTGTGCTCCTTGGCCCTCCAGCTAGTGTCTGAATGATGAGGTCAAGCTCTTCTTATACAAGTGTCCCTGTCTCAGGCTAAAATCTGCCTGTTGGCCTCTTCCTCGCTGTCAGCCCCGCCCGGTACCAGGGCCCGGCTTGTCCCCGCTCCCCGCAGCGCCCCTGGCCTGGATGTGGGAAGCGAAGGCAGTGAGCATTTCCTGGGCAGTGAGGTGGAAGCCGCGCATAATCAGGCGGTGTCCGTCTCCTGGGGAAGAAACAAACGAGTGAGACACTGGGAGGAAGGCAGGGCCGAGGGGCTTGCGGGCTGCCCGCCGCCCCCTCCCGCCTGACCCCCCCATCCCAGCCCACCGAACAGCACGTCCACGCAGGGTTCAGAGCCGTCGTGCCTCACGTCCACAATCACCGAGCAGTTGAGGTTGGTGGCGCGGACCTTCTCGCTGCTCACCGCCTGGAGAAAGATCCTGCGGTGGTAAACCGCAGGCGGCGTGAGCACTGGCCGAGGGGGCTCCGACCCGCAGTGGGAGCAAGGCCCACCCTTTCCCACCCGTCCTCCACGCACCTCGTAGATTCCACGTTCTTCTCAAAGGGGCAGAATTGAACACGAACCTGCTTGACCGCCCGGAGCCCGAGCCGAGCCAAGGCCGCCGCCATTGTGACCTCCGCCCCGGAAGGGACTCGCGCGTGCGGTAGTCTCGCCCACAACCGGAAGCTGCGCACGCCGGGAGTCGGCGGCCTGCGGGGCTCGGCCAGGTAGGGGGTGGGCCGCTGTCCTTCGTCCCGGGTTCCTCAGCCCAAAAGGAGGGAAGGAAGGCGGGAGGGAAAGAGGTGATTTCGGCTCAAGGTTTGGAGGCAGCCAGGGTCACACAGCGAGGGGCCCAAAGTAACCGATCAGTAAATACTACCTATCATAACTAGTCGTCTTGTACCAACCACGGTGAAGACAATAAAAAAATAGTGCAAAACCTTTTTGCACCTGGCTCGAAACACGTCAGTCTTCTGCAGCCTTTCCCTTCAGTATCCTGCTGTGCCAGGTCTAGGTTAACGCCATTTTAAATCCTGGCCCCCACATGGACAGAGAGCATTACTACTGCAGGGATTATATGCCTACCAGGAGGTAGACCGCACGGAGGTAACTGAAGATTAAACACGTTGAACTCTGAATAACTAAATGTCAAACGTCATGGCCCTACAGCCCAAAATTCTTATATGACTGAAAATAGTACTGGAGAGTACAGGGAAACAGACCCTGAAACTGAACCACGTGCAGAAATGCCTATTTCATCTCTGTGGTTCCTGATGAATTAAACTTTGCTTTCAGCCCAGCTCCTGGGACTTATGAGGAAGTGGCATCTAGGCTCTGCTTTCTGTTCCTGTTCCCTTCTGCTGTTCCCTAGGATCCAACCCCTCTAGCCATCCTCCCACCTTCTGGCCCTGAGACGTTTTCACTGATGGGAAACTAGGCCTGAGTCTCTCAAGGATGCTGACCTCCAGGTTCCAGGCTGTGGTCTTGCCCTTTACTTTAGATTCCAGGCTCTGGAGCGATCTTGGATTCTTAGCTTGTATGTCCAGGCTCCGTGTAGCTCGTGTTTCTCAGGTATGCTTTCCTGAGTTCCCAGTTCCAGGCTTCTTTAATATGCAGTTCCAGATGTCTGAATTTCTTCAGGTAGAAACGGGGAGCTCTGACTTCCTAGCTCCTGGTCCCAGGCTCCCCTTACTGTTCAGGACTGGTCCCCAGGCAGGAAAGAAAAGGCAGGTGCCAACGGGGGCGCTGGTGCTGCCTCAGGGCAAGCCAGGCCTGCTGATTTCCCACCAGGTAAGCCTCAGGGCTAGGTCCCCCTCCCCACAGTGTGCTTAGCAACTGAGCTGTCTGGGCTGGGGCTGCTCCAGGCCGAATGGGGGGCTCCAAGCTCTCCAGGCTGTTGAGGCTGCTGCTGGGCAATTCCGTGGTCTGGACCTCATTACAGGCACCTGGTGAGGCCAGAGTGGAAAGCAGGTGGTTTGTGAGGAGATGCTGAAGCCAGACCAATGGTGAGGGTGGGTTGGGGAAGGTAGAGTAGTGTGGAAGGGCGAAGAGCCTGGGATTGGGGAGAGGGAGTGACTCACAGCAACAGGGAGGCCTCCTGTGGATTCGTGTTTTGGGCAAGGGCTGCTGCAGTAAACATAGCAGGGCCCCATCCAGCCGCTGAAAGATGCTGAGCATGAGCAGTGTCTGGCGAAGGTCAGGCGACAGGCCCCACTGCTCCTCTTCCAGCAATTCGAGGACCACGCCAAAGTCCTGCCTGAGCTGCAGCGCCCCCTGCAGGCTTAAGGCCAAGGTGCAATGTTGTTGCCCGACCCTCCAGCGTCTGCAAACTACTCTGCCCCACTTACCCTCCACCCCTTTTTCCGTTTCTTCCCCTGCCATTGTCTCCTTTTCTTCTCACCTGAACCGGATCTTGTGGGTGAGGATGTGGTCGAGCCAGGCACCCAGGATGGCCGTCAGCGCCTGACCGAGGGCAGGAGCCTGGGCTTTGGGTGGCAATCCCTGCAATCCTTGCAACACAGGCTCCAGGACAGTGCGGACCACCAATCCAGCATATTCACTAGGAATGCCAGGCAGTTCTGGAGTGACAGAAGAGAAAGGACTATGGAGATACATGGAAGCCCATTTAGGAACTCCATTTAGGAACCCCTAAATGGAGTGTTCAGGGTAAGAGCAGGATTTTATGTGGTGGGAGTGGGCCCACAGAAGGTGGGGATAAGGCCAGGGTTTGGAGGGGACGGGACATTATTACCCCCTAGGGTCCCTGGAAGGGGATGCTGGCATGAGTTACCAGGGCAGAGACGAAGCCGCCAGTACCGACCCCGTGGCATGTAGAGCTCAAAGCCCTGTGTGGCTTGTTTATGACATTCTTGAGAGAAGAGACTTAGTGACTCTTCAGACAGGAGCTGTGGGGCAGGGAGAAAGTAAAAGGGGCTTATTTATTAGGGGCTTGTCTAGTTATGATGCCTTTCTAAATCTGAGGTGCCTAGTCTGGGGTCCATAAAACCCCAGAATTGTATGCAGTATAATTGTGTGGTCCTGGAAATTTTCTGAAGAGAAGTGCCATAGCTTTCATTGGGTTTTCCAATACGTCTGGACCCAAAAAAGACCATGCCTTAGGATTACCCTGCTTCCCCCAGCTTGGTTCAGAAGATGGAAGATTCTTGAGGTTAATTTTATTCTATAGGAACATTAGTAGGATAAAAAGAAAGACACCCCCCCACCCCACCCCCGGTGTTCAAAAGCACATGACAGGGAGAGGGGTCTGCCTGATCTGGAGATGCACAGAGGCTGAGGGAAGAAAGGGGAATTGTACCAATCTGGTTATCATCTAGAAAGGGAGGTCCACTACAGCTGAATCAAACATCTATCATCACCTTCACGGTTCCTCTCCTGCTCTTACAATGGCTCCCCATCACTCGTGAGATAAAGCCCACATTCCTTGGGCCCGCCTTCAGTGCCCTTCACAATTTGATGCCAACCAGCTTAGTCCCTCCCTACACACACAGAGGGAGCCTCTGCTGTCAGGTCAACTTCCCACCATTCCCTCAAGGTTCTATGAACTGCCTACCCCTAGTACCCACTGCTGCTCCTCTGAATCTGCCCAGCCACCTGCTGTAGCCACAGGCCCTGGGCAGAGCTTCTGGAACCACAGGACCACCATGGCCTCCCTCCTTAGAGCTTCTACAACTATCACTACTACAACCAGCTACTTTACTCATGATGAGCCTGCTCTGCCACATGCTGAGTTTGAGGAAACAGCAGTAAGTAGAGGTGGAAACCCCAACCAACAAATGCATACGCTGGGAGCCAAGAGGAGCTCAACTGTGGAAGTCCACAGAACCAAAGCACTGTGGGTGAGCAGGAATGCAGAGAGAAAAGCAGAGGGTCAAAGAATGAACTCTAAAGTCGGGTCCCTATTCAGGGCAAAGAGGAAAAAATTGGGCAGGGACAGAAAACTAAACCAGAGAAACATCTCCTGTAGTAGGAATAGATAATGTGCAAAATGGGGGAAAATTCAAATAGCAGCACAATAGCTTTATTCATAAATACAGAAGAAAACATTAGAAGGAACAGCCAAGAGTGGGCAAAAAATTAGCACTGTGGAACAAGAATTAGAGGTAGAGTGATAGACAATGGAAGTGCTAGTTTTTTCATTAAAAGCCTTGTAAAATAACATTTTATTTTACTTGTAATTATGGACGTGCATTACTTTAATAAAAATACAAGTGAAACTTATAAAAAGAGAAGAAGCATTATATTGAAAGCTAGTAAAGGGAAAGATTCAATCATTTATCCTGCTTTTTCTAGACAAAATATACCAAATAATTAATGAGGGCACATCTGTCTTTACAGAAATAATCCAGCTAATGAATGAAGCAGGAATGATAGAATTGGAATAGCATCACTTTGCAACCCTTAATGAGATAATGGAACTAGGCAATGATCTAAGAGTTCAGCTGCTAACAAAAAGGTCAGCAGTTCGAATCCACCAGCCGCTCCTTGGAAACCCAATGGTGCAGTTCTGTTCTGTCCTATAGGGTCGGTATCAGTTGGAATCAATTTGACAGCAATGGGTTTGGTTTTTTGGTTTAGACAATGATCATCAATGGCTGCTAACATCACAGAATGAGAGCCTGACATCATTGGGGTAGAGAGAAATACAGATGAAACAAAATTGGCCATGAGCTGACAACTGTTAAAACCTCGGTGATGGGAACACAAGGTTCATTGTACCCTTCCATTTTTGAATAGGTCTGAAATTTTCCATAATAAAAAGTTAGAGGGAACAAAACATAAACAGAACAAGAAAATTATCAGGACTCCAAGGAGAACCCAAGTCACTGAGATGTTCCAACCCCCCTCCCCCAAGCTGGGCACAGAAGAGGGTCTTAAATTGCCACTGTCAAGACTCCTGCTCTCACCTGGATCTGTGCAGTCAGCTTCTGGATCTCCAGGCCCAGCTGCTGCTCCACCTCCAGGGCCAAGCTTTCCTCTGAGGTTAGGCTAGACAGAGCTTGTGCTTCATGCAATAGAGGCTTTGGGCAGAAACAGGGAGTGAGGTCTGAGCCCACCCCAGGCCACTCCCCTCCCGACTCCCCAGTCACTCACAGGCAAGTCCTTCTGGATCAGGAGAAGGAAAGAGCCTGGGGCCCATGCTGCCAAGTGCTGCTGAGCTCTTCCCAAGAGCCAGAGCAAGGTGGTCTGGAGGGTACACAACCCCAGGGCGAGGGGTGCAGGACCTGAGGAGAGTGGAAGAGTGAGTATTTGAGGGGTCATGGAGCATCTTTGGGAGGACGCAGACTTCAGAATGGAGTAAAGGAGAAAAGGGGACATTCTCAACTATCCTGACCCCCCAGCCCCAGCCTGTCATCTCACCTGCAGGCCGACAGAGGATTAGCCCTGGCCTGGATTCCTGAAGGGCATCCAGGAGAGAGAGGAAGAGCTGTTGAAGAAGTTCAGTTGTTCGAGAGCAGGAGCTACCATCCCAGGATGAGGGAAGGCTGTGCTGATCCCCACGAGCCAATCCCAAGGCCTGGCAGAAGCCTGTGAATGAAGGGACATGGTCTGATAGGGGACGGACAACCTGGGACTCATGTCACTCCCAATGCCCCTTCCTTCTCACCTTGGTCCCAGCTCCGGATGAGCGACTGATGAAGTAGGTTGTGGCACAAAGAAGCCAGCTCCTTCCCACACTCCTGAGGTAGTGATGCTAGTGGGAGAAATTACCCTGGAGCCTGAAAACAAGGCCTCTCTTTTCCACAACCACTGCCCACTCAATGATGGGGGGTGGGGGAAGAAGCCGCCTCCAAAACTCATAACTGGGATGGATAGCAAGACTTCGCCTTGAAAACTCTGAAGCTATAGTCTGAAACCCAGCGGCATTCAATCTAAAGGGCCTGCTTTTGTAGTCAGGCTGGCAGATAAGGGAGCTGACTAGGGATAAGGAAGAGACCCCAGCCTTCCCAAACGCCCACCCGGGACCATCACTCACCCTGACCCAGTGCCTGACTCAGCTGTTGTACCGCTGCCCTAGGGTCCTTCCAAGGTCCCAGCTTCAGGTCCAGACTCTGAGCACAGGCTGCCCACAGCAGGGTCCAGTACTGGCTCCACAGGGCCCCAGCCCCTCCAAGCCTCAGTCCACTGCTGCGTGAACCCGCCACGCCCTCCACAAGCCCCAGCAGCCCTGGCAGCAGCTCCCGCTCCTCTTGGCACTGCCTGCGAAGCTGGTCCCGCAAGCCTGATCCGCTGAGCGCCTCATCCAGCCGAGCTGCTACCTGGCAACCCCGTTCCCCTGCCAGAAGGCGGAGCACTCGGGCCGGGGTAAAGGGGCGCGCTGCCCCCGGGACGTGGCTCATGGCTTTTCCCAGTAGTTGGTGGTAAGTGGGAAGCACCAGCAGCAGCTCAGACAGTTGAGACGACAGGCCCGGGCTGAAGGGCGTCCGGCCAAGAACGCGAAGCTGCATCTCGATGGCAGCATCCAGGTGCTGAGTGGCTAGTCCGATGAGGCGCGTCAGGAGCAGCGGCTCCAGGGCCTCAAGAGGCCGGGTTCGCAGGACGGCCCCTTGGGAAGGGTACGGCAGCAGGTCGCTACACAGCTGGAGCAAGGGGCTGGGGCCGAGCGATGATAAGCCGGGGTTCAGGGTCCTCAGGAGGCGCACGGCCGCCTGCAGGTGGCGGGCGCAGTCGCGGGCCCGGAGGAGCTGCTCCCGCTCGCGGTGCAGCCGCAGCAACACGGCCTGAAGACTCTGCAGCGCTGGAGGGATTGAGCTTCCCGCTGCCGGCTCCCGCCTCCAGTCTGCAGGCCCAGCCTCGTGGTCCTCGCTCGCGTCCGCGGGTGCCGGCCCAGCCCACCACGGCTGCCCTCCCGGCCGCGGGTCCCGGCAGGAGATGCTCCCGAAAACTGGCAGCCCCCGCCAGCCGCGAACCTCCCCCGGGAGAGCGCCCGCCCGCCTTCCCTCCCACGGCTCCTCCCCAGCGCCCCCGGGTTGCACTGACAGCCGCGGCACGGTAGCGAGAGGAGGCAGAAGGCCACCAGGGTGAGACGCCTGGGCCATCGGGGAGCGGGTCCGGAACGGACCTAACGATTCCCGCTTCCCCGCACGGCTCAACGCCCGCCGTAGCCGGGACTCCGCCCCATCCCAAGAGCCGTCTTCTCTTGTCGGGAAGCCTCCGGAACTGTCATGAACTCTGTCGCGCTCCGTAATCAGAGGCTTCTGCCCCTAACAAAGATGGCCACCTACCCTGTTCTACCCAGTTCTTCGGCCGGTATCAAATACCAGAGTATCTTTCACTTTCGGGTCACTGTTGACAGGAGATGGCGCCGATTCCGAAGACTGTGGGGCAGATTAAACTAGGTGAGCAGACGTCACAAGACGGGAGGGGGTCCAGGAGGGCAAAGGTGGGCCTACTTGAGTCTACCTGTGGACGGTTTCAACAGGATTTTAAAATTCACGCGAGGGGCTCTGGCTGCGAACCGGAGCCTCCTAACGCGGCGCTGCCCTCCTTTCCTGTAGATTGCCCTCTGCGGCCCGGCTGCCCGCTGGGGGTCGCTGCAGTCCCCAAACTCTGCAAGGACTTCGGTCCTGAGGACTACGGTGAAGAGGTAAAAACGGACTTCCAGCTTCCCTCAGCCCTATTTGTCATTGTCACGCCTCCTTTCATCCAGCCTGTGCTGAGGCCCGCGCTGGGCTCTGGAGGTTTGAGGGAGGCATAGCCTCAGGCCCTGCCCCGGAGGAGCAGTGCAAGGGACGGTGGGGGCGGGGGTGGGGGCGGGGGCGGAGGACAATGCTGCCAGGATAAATGCTCAAAGTCGGCTGGATAGGGCAAACGAAGGCCTCTGAGTTGAGGGGGGTGGGGGTGGGGTAGGAGTTCCTTAGAGAAAAATAGAATGGACAGAGGGGACAGTGTGAGTAAAGACACTGAGACAAGGAAAAGTTAAGAGTACATCACTGAAGTGCGATCAAAGTGGAGGGTTTGGTTGGGGCAGTAAGAGACGTGGCTGGAAAGGAGGCACCAAGTGACTCGCAAGTCCTTGTCTGGTACAGGGGTTTGGATGTCCTCCAGTAGACAACAGGATTATTGAGGAGGGATAGGATCAGATTTGAGAGCAGTGAGAAGCTATACTACCACTTGCTTCTTGGGCATCTCTTTAAAAACTTTAAACTCAGCAAATCCAGAAGTTAATTCATCTTTGCACATTCTTTGCTTTTCCTCTGATCTTCATTTTGGTTAATAACACAAACATCCATCCAGTTGCTTAATCCAGAAATCTAGAATCACTCTATAATTCTTTCCTTCCTTTACCACATACATTTAGTCAGTAACTAAAATCTACTTCTGAAGTATCCCAATTCATTCCAGCTCCCTCTGCCACTGCCTTAGTTCAGGGACTCATTCTTTTTGGCCTGAGCAGTTGTAATGGCCTGCTAACTAACCATTCTGCCCCAAAACTCATCTCCTTCCCCAGTACTATTTCATTTGAGCTTTTCACTCCCAAATCAGGTCAACTCCCACAATTAACAGGATGAAGTCGAAACTCACTGGGTCACATGAGATATTTGAGAACACAGTCCTTGTCTGCATCTCTATTAGAATAGCCTCCTCACCAATCTCTCTGCCTCTGTTCAGTCATTCAACACACACATCTGGACATCCACTACATACCAAACTGTTCTAGGCATTGGGAAAAAAGCAGTAAGCCAAACAGACAAAAGACCCTGCATTCAATGAATTAGAAGTATTAGTAGGACAGCTAGTCAACAAACAAACAACATAGTATGTCACATATGGGAGGTGAGGTGGGAAAGGCAAAGTAGGAGGATAGCGAGTGCTGGGTGGAGCTGGGAGGTTGCTCTTTTTAAAAGAGATGGTTGGCTAGAGAAGGCCGCCCTGAGAAGGTGATATTTAAGTAGAGATCTGAAGGAGAAGAAGGAGTGAGGGATTGACTGGGGAAAGAGCACTCCAGGCAGAGGAAATAACAGGCGAGTGCAAAAGCCCTGAGATGGGAGCACACTTGTTATGTTTTAGGAACTGCAGAGGAGACCACTGTGGCTAGAGGAGGGTGATGAGTGGTGGGTAGGGGATCATTCAGGAAGGTATTGGAGGGCTAGATCATATGCCATAGAGCGAATTCAGAGAGTAGCATAGAGTGTTTTGGGGAAGGGTTGAAACAAACTCACGAGGAAATTGAATTTGAGAATAAGACTTGACAAAAGTGCCCAGAAGTCTAAGTGCAGATGCTGTTGCAACAGGACAATCTCCTGAGTGCAGCCCTGGATCTAAAATTGTTTAGAAAGTTGAGTGTACCTCAGTGATCTGAGGGTGCTGCCTATAGATTATTGTAGCAGTCTGCAGTTTCATGTGGCTTCCAAGCTTCTCAGTCAGCCAACCACCTAGTGAGCGTCTGCTCTGTTTCTACACCTAATTAGGCCACATAAGGACATGATGATTCCTGCCCTCCAACGCTTCCACTGAGTGAGGAAATGACTCTCATCAGAACCACAGAATGTCTGGGTCAGGCCCTGAAGAGCCCTGCCTCATTTTATGGATGAGGAAGCAGAGGTCCAGAGAGTGAAGCAACTTTCCCCAAAATAACACAGGCAGTGGCAGTGGCAGAGCCAAACCTAGGATGCAAGTGGCTCCACTCCAGTATAGCACTCTTTCCAGTTCCATGCTGCCTCACCAATTAAGAGAGCAATAAAAAGCAATGAATAGTGAGGTTCTTATTGTACAATCCAGACTATGTAAGCACAGCTTGGTTCAGAGAGCTGAAGTAATTGGAGATCAGAGGGTCTGGGAAGGCTTTGAGGGGAGAGAGGATTTGAACTAGTTCTTGAAGGCGGGACAAGATGTGGTGAGGTCACAGCCGGGAGTGCTTCAAGGGTAGCTGGGGCAAGGCCCCAAGGCTGGAAGGAGCCTGGTGGTGGAGGGAGGAAGGCAGCTAAGCAGAGGATTATAACAGAGGGTTGGAAAAGTCAGCCAAGGAGCTTTTTGGAAGGCTCAAAATTCAAGGCTGAGGAGCTAGATTTAATCCTCCTTGTTACCCTGGCAGTGGGGGATTACTGGCGGTTTTTTAGCAGGGTAGTAATTTCTGTGAGCTCGGTTTTATGAAGTTCGTGGAGAGATGAAGTGCAGGGGAGAGACCAGCCAGGAGCTGCTGGACTCATTTAGGTGTGAGGCAGCCCCAGGGTGGGTTATATGGAGGCTTCAAGGATATAACAGGGATGGAACTGGAAGAGCAGGTAAGAGAGCTCTGTCCCAGGGGCCCCCATGTAGCTGACCTAGCGGCAGGTCAGGAGATGGCGGGGTGCTGGAGAAGGCTGCATGCCACGCTCAATCCTTGGGAAGATAGGAAAGCAATGAAGGGAGGTGATATACAATGAAAGCTGGGTGCAGAAGAGCTTGAGGGGCTGAGGTGGGAGAGGTCAGGGCTAGATGAGGCTCTCTGGGCTGGGTGGCTGGTTTGTGGCTACCATGGTGGAGGGGTCAACCCAGCCAAGCCCCTTGCTGTCTCCCAGAGCTTCCCCAAACACCAGCCTCCCCTTCCCGCTCCCCAGGATATAGTGGATTTTCTTCAGCGGCTTGTGGAGAGTGATCCCCAGGGCCTGCACCGGATCCATGTGGATGAGAGCAGCAGCCAGCTGCAGCTGTGGCACCATGGTGGGGAGTGAAAGGGCCCGGCCCAGGATCGAGGCTGGTAGCCTGGGGAGGGCTGGCCCTCAGGTGCTCCCCGCTCTGATGGCCTTCCTTCTTTCCATTCTCTTTCTTCCTCCTGACAGATTACCTCCTGAACCATGTCTGTGACGAGGAGAAAACAGCTGGACAGAGTGACAGGGGCAAGGGGGCTGAGGGCCTGGGCACCTACTGTGGTCTCCGAAAGTCCTTTCTGTCCTCTCCCCAGGAATCTAGGCCCTGCCCTCAAAGCCACTCTGCCCCTGCATCCTTCCCCAGTGACTCAGACAGCCTGCTTCAGGTGGTCATGCCCCAGAAGCTCCTGGTGACTGAAGAGGTGAGATTTTCAGGAGGGGCTTCACATCCCCCTGGTTCTTTCAATCCTCGTGTTCTCATCCGTATATTCTCCCCTCATCTGTACCTTTCAAGGCCTTTCCATACCTCTTGCTTCCCTTTTGCTTTCTCTTTCATTCTCCCTGTCTCTCTTTTCCTGTCACCTGCCTTTCCTCTTTCAGGAAGCTAACCGCCTGGCTGAGGAGCTGGTGGCTGAGGAGGAGCGTGAGAAGCAGAAGGCAGAGAAGAAGCGACTGAAGAAGAAGGTGGCTGGAAGGCTGAAGGAGTGGTAGCGCAGAGGGGTTGGGGGATGGAAAGAGGTCCTTTGTGAGAGTACAGGAGAGAGCTCAAAATGGCCTGCAGTGGGTCTTCTGCCAGGAGGGCCCACATGCTCAGGGACTGGAGGTCTCCCCAGAGGCCATATGATAGGGTGGTTCCAACATGAGCTCTGGAGTCCACTATACTGCCTGGGCTGGAACCTGCCTCCCTCCTTACTGGGATACCTCTGGCTGGTGACTTTCTTGTCTTTTTCTTCACCTATAAAACGAGGGTAATCATAGTAATACCTACCTCATAGAGTTGCAAGGATTAAGTGAGATAGCGGATGGGAACCTCTTAGCCCAGTACATTACATTTAGTAAGTGCCGAAACTACATCATCATTATCATCACAGCGTCAGAAGGAACGGAAGCTGCAGGAGCGCCTGGAGCAGGACAGTGGGAAGGCCAGTGTGAGTATCTCCAGACAGGTGGTAAGAGCACTGAGGGCCAGTAAGGTAGGGCTAAGAAGGCAGCGGCTCAAGGTGATCCCAGCTCTGTCCCTGTCTACCTTCCTTCCAGGCCGAGGCCACCCCCAATGGGGACGGGAGCCCCCCATCCAGCCCTGGGAACCCAGCTCAGGGACAGTGTGGTGAGGAAGCGGTGAGAGCTCCCTTCCTTCCCTTTTTCCTACCCCTTCCTTCTCCCATCACTCTAGGATGTAGTTCATCCCACCCCTACCCCCAACTTTCCTTTCTGCCCACAGGACTCACTGGATCTGTCTAGCACTTTAGTGTCTTTAGCTCTCCGCAAGGTTGGGAATAGGCCCTCCAGTGCCCCAAGAAACAAAGGACTGAGCCAGAAGCCCCAGCACAGGAGCCAGCGCCCCCAGGAGAAGATGGGCCAAGAGGAAGGGAGCCCTGCTAGAGAAGACAGCCCCAGGCAGAGTCCTGAGGCCAAGGTGAGGTGGGTGGGAGAGGCTCAGCTGGAACCAGTGGAAGGGGTGCCAGAGGGCTCTGGAAGTCACATGACCTAAGGGCCAAGGGGGCATCCAGTAGGAGTTCTCTGGCACTGGGGTCAAGTGACCTGCAGCCAGCCTCTGTCACTGTCGCCCTGACCCTGTGGAAGACAGGGCTGATACCATCTTGCAAGGGTGTTGTGAGAATTTTGTGAGATGAGTGATGCCGACTGCAACGTTAGCTGCTGGAACAAAGGAGAAGGATTTGGGGAAGCAGAGGTCCCAAGGCCTGCTCGACTTTGTTTCCCCTCCCTAGGTATCTCCAGGACTGCTGGCAGCTGCCTTACAGAAGAGCCACGAGCTGGCAAGTGAGACTCTTTCTCTCTCCTTCACCCCACCCTCCCTAGGGTAGCCCCATCTGAACCTTCCCACTGTCTTCCCAGAGTTGGGTAATAGCTTTGCCCAGAATGGTTTCTACCAGGAGGCTGTGGTCCTCTTCACCCAGGCCTTGAAGCTCAACCCCTGGGATCACCGGTAAGTGGGGAGCTGGCTACTGTGCTGGGAGGTAAGGGCAAGGCAGGGTGTTCAGGACCCTGACCTTTCGGCACTTTCTGTCAGGTTATTTGGAAACCGTTCCTTCTGCCATGAGCGGCTGGGTCAGCTGGTGTGGGCCCTGGTGGATGCCCAGGTGGCCCTTACCCTTTGTCCTGGCTGGCCCCGGGGCCTCTTCCGCCTGGGCAAGGCCCTAATGGGACTGCAGGTAATTGGTCTGGGGATGGAAGTAGAGGGTGGACTTGGATGGCATGGGCTGGGATTGGGTCTGCGGTGACATTTTCTAGGTAAGCTCCTAGTCTCACTATATTAGTTGTGCTAGGAGCTGGGGCCAGTTTGGGGAAAGGGCAGCTTGAAGTTCCCTGACCCCTTAACACTTAAACTTTCCACTTCCCGAACCTCTGGGACCCAAGCACTTTGAGGAGGCAGCTGCTGTGTTCCAGGAGACTCTGAGAGGTGGGTCCCAGCCGGATGCAGCTCGGGAGCTCCACTCTTGCCTTCTCCAACTGGTAAGAGAGCCAGGCCCACTCATGCTGAGGCAGCAGCAGGGAGAATTGGCTGGGGTTGCAATGCCAAGCAGTGCCACCTTCTGCCTCAGATGGATGAGGGAGGGCAAGAATGGGTGGGCTGAGGGGTGTGGGCTGTGCTGCTTGAAAAGAGTATCACGTACCCTTCCCTCCCCCTTCTCAGCAGAATCAGCGAGGAGGAGTCTGTGCTCCACCTCTGTCAACTGGGTTCCCTCAGCTACTTCCCCACGCTGAGCTGGGGGCCCCAGGCCTACTCTCTCTCAATCCCCCTCGAATCATTGCTCCCAGGGCCCCTGGCCTTGTGTCTCTACCCTTGCATTATCCCCCATGTCACCTGGGCCACCCTAATTGGCCCCTCCCCCAGGCTCAGAGGAGAGGACCCCATCCTCTCCATCTCCACGACCCCTCAAAGGGTGGGGGCACACTGGGGCTTGGGTGCCAGCGTCTACCTCAGGCCAGGTGAGGGAGGACCTGTGCGTCTTTTAGGGCAAGGCCATGTGTACATCTCACTGGATGGGGACACTTGTGTGGTGGTGGTAGCTCACTGCGTATTTTGAGGCCTTGTATTCTAAAACCATAGTGAAGGACACCCTTTGTAGTCACTCCTCTTGCAACGTAGAACCTCGTGATGAGAGAAGGGAGTCCCACATCCACTAAAACAGCCTTTCATTGGTTCTCAAGCAGATAGCTTCTTCTAGGGGGGGTAGGAAAAAATGAAACCCAAGATTCAAGAAGGGAACTATACAAAAGTTCAGTTTTTCAGGCTATCACAGACCCAGCAAGGAGGCATTTGGGGCTCACTCAGCTTCTTGGTCCCAGGGGATTCATTCACCAGCCAGCGCTTTGTGCTGAGGAATGGGGTCACAGTGGTGAATAAGGCCCGAGTCCCGCCCTTCAGCTTGATAGATGCTCAGCCCCTTCCCAACCCCAGTTCTTGCTCGGTGTTCTCCAGCCCCAGTCCCCAGTTTGCTCCCAGCCCCTCATGCCCTGTTTCCTGTCCACATGGCTGGGCACACTCTGACCTCTCCTTTGCCAGTGGTCTGATTCTTACCGCCTCCCGCTGCTAAAAGATTCCCTGAGGGAGCAGACAGAGCCCAGACATGACATTCTCCACTGCTGGCTTGCCTGCAGAAAGGGGTCTCACTCGGCAGGTGCCCAGGCTGCTGATACCTCTGCCACTCTCTTCCTCCATGGGGGGAAATGCACTGGGCACTGTAACTGCCCTGTAGACCTCCCCCGTGTGAATTTACTTCTAGGTTTTCTACCAAGGACCGCTGCCCCAGAGAAGGCTATAATTCTCTGTGTCCTGTGTAAGAATCCTGGTCTCCTTTTGGTTTCTCCTTTGAGATCCTGGCAGCTGCCCTTGGCTGGTTTCTGCCTTACCCTGCCTGGGACTTCCACCTTGTTTAAGTATGGCTCTGCAGGGACTTTGAAGCCCTCCCAGAATGCCTTTCCTGGAAAGGCCATTCACCAGGATAAATGATTCCTGCTGTGCTGTGGGTCTTGCTCAACACTGTTCACACCTGGAGATAAGAGGTGGTGAGACACCTCCTTATTGTTTTATGGTGCAGGCCTTTTAAATATTGTGTGGCAGGATAAACACTAGCTTTGGAGTCTGCCATTTACTACCTGGGTCACCTTGGGCAGGTCTTTTAACATCTGAGCCTCCTTTCCCTCATCTGTAAAATGGGGGCAATCGCTACCTCACAGGGTTATTGTGAGGATTGAAAAAGAAAGTGTGAGAAAGCACCTACCAAGTACCTGGTACATAGTGGGTGCTAAATAAACTTATTTTTATCTGCAACTGTCATCCATATTTATTATTCCCACAGTGGGAAGACAGGGAAATGAGTGAACTCCTGCTTAAATTCACAAAATACGGAGTTCCTGGGACTGTGGTTCTCAGAGTGGGGTCCCTGGATCAACAGTATCAGCATAACCTGGGAACCTGTTACAAATACAGATTCTCAGACCCCACCCCAGACCTTCTAGATTCAGAAAATGGAGCCCAGCAAACTGTGTTTTAACAAGCCCTCCAGGTGATTCTGATGTACCCTAACATTTGAGAACCACTACTCTAGGATCTAACAGAAGACAACCAATCAGAGGCCATTTTGGTGGAACAGGTTTAAGTTTTGTTTATCCAAGGATTGATTACAAGAGGCAGCAGTGCTGCCCTGATACCAGAAGAACTAGTTGGTGCCTGGCTACCACTACCAACCGTTCTGATCAGGGTCACAATAGATGGACCTGGTTAGAATGGGAGAAAAACATGGAACAGAACTCAAATTCTTAAAAAGTCCAGACTTACTGGACCAGTTGAGACTGGAAGATTCTCTGAGCCTATTGCCCTAAGATACTCTTTAAACCTTGAACTGAAACAATCCCCTGAGGTCACATTTTAGTGAAATAATGGATTGGCATACAAAATAAAGGACGCTCCATTAAAAAACCATTTATATGAGACCAAAAGGTCAACAATTAGCAAAAGCAAAGATGAAAAGACAAGGGAGGGCAGGGAAATTAGAGTACTGGAAACAGAACAAACAGAACACAATGAGAATGCTGACACACTGTGAAAAATTAACTAATCACTGAACAACTTCTGTAGAAATTGTCAAACAGGAACCTAACTTGCTGTGTAAACTTTCACTGAAAACAATAAAATATTAAAAAAAAAAAAAAGTGGCAGTGCTGGGCTCGAATTCTGGAAACCTCTAGGGGTGTTATGGCTCAGAGCCAATGAACTTGACTGAACTCTACCTTCCTAACTATCTCTGGTTGGGAGGGAGGGTGGAGGAGAGGTAGTTGTGTAACTCCATAAGAGGCCTGCTACCCATTAGGTTTTCACTGGAAAATTTTTTCAGAAGTAGATAGCCAGGCCCTTAGTCCCTGTCTGTCTGAGTCTGGAAGCTCCGCTGAAACCTGTCCACCATGGGTGACTCTGCTGGTATTTGTAATACCGGTGGGTAGCTTCCAGCATCACAGCAACATGCAAGCCACCACAGTATGACAAACTGACAAATAGTGGTTGTAACCTTTCACCATACTTGTTCAATCCGTATGCTGAGCAAATAGTCCGAGAAGCTGGACTATATGGAGAAGAACGAGGCATCAGGATTGGAGGAAGACTCATTAACAACCTGAGATTCGCAGATGACACAACCTTGCTTGCTAAAAGTGAAGAGGATTTGAAGCACTTACTGGATGAAGATCAAAGACTATAGCCTTCAGTATGGATTACACCTTAACATAAAGAAAAGAAAAATCCTCACAACTGGACCAATAAGCAACATCATGATAAACGGAGAAAAAGATTGAAGTCAAGGATTTCATTTTACTTGGATCCACAATCAACACCCATGCAAGCAGCAGTCAAGAAATCAAAAGACGACGCACTGCATTGGGCAAATCTGCCGCTAAAGACCTCTTGAAAGACTTACAAACAAAGACGTCACCTTGAGGACTAAGGTGTGCTTGACCCGACCCATGGTATTTTCAGTTGTCTCATGCATGCCAAAGCTGGACAATGAATAAAGAAGAACTAAGAATTGACGGCTTTGAATTATGGTGTTGCTGAAGAATAGTGAATATACCATGGACTGCCAGAAGAACAAAGTAATCTATTTTAGAACTACAGCCAGAATGCTCCTTAGAGGCTATGATGGCAAGACTTCGTCTCACGTACTTTGGACATGTTATCAGGAGGGACCAGTCCCTGGAGAAGGACATTGTTATGGATTGTGTCCCCCCAAAATATGTATTGTAAATCCTAACCTGTATGCCTGTGGTTACAATCCCGTTTGGGAATGAGTTGTCTTTGTTATGTTAGTGAGGCAGGATTAGTGTAGGGTATGTCTTGAGTCAATCTCTTTGATATAAAAGAGATTAAATAAGCAAGCGAGCAAGCAGAGAAAGATGGTGTCATGGATTGAATTGTGTCCCCCTAAAATAATGTGTATCAATTTGGCTAGGCCATGATTCCCAGTATTGTGTGATTGTCCACCATTTTGTCATCTGATGTAATTTTCCTATGTGTTGTAAATCCTACCTCTATGATGTTAATGAGGTGGAATTGGCGGCAGTTATGTTAATAAGGCAGGACTCAATCTACTAGATTGGACTGTGTCTTGAGCCAATTTCTCTTGGGATATAAAAGACAGAAGCGAGCAGAGGCAAGGCAAGGTCTGAGGAGGGCAGACTGGACTGTCAGGGAAAGGGGGAAGCAGACTCCGCCTCAGCATGGTCTCTTGAAGACTCAGAGGACAGCCGAGAATGAGGGAAGACAGCATCCTGTAGCAACCTAGTGTTCTCTTCCCTCCCCGTTAACGCTGTAACAAAACAAAACAAAACAAAAACTTGCGTGGAGTCGATTCCGACTCATCGCGACCCTATACCAACCCTACAAAACAGAGTAGAACTGCCCCATAAGGTTTCCAAGGAGCGGCTGAAGATTCGAACTGCTGACCTTTTGGTTAGCAGCCTAAGCTCTTAACCACTGCGCCACCAAGGCCCCATTCACACTGTAGGAGGGTGATTAATCACCAGTGGAATAAATGAATCTCAGAAATGTCCGCCTGCGGAACTAGGCTGGTGTCTCCACCAGCAAGGTTGCTCCTCCAAGCTCCGCCTCAACTGGTCGGGCCCCATCCTAGTGCCTTGGCCACCAACGTGGCGGGAACTTTTGTGGTCCAGGATCGGAGGTCCAGGAGGTACCGGAAGGAGGGGTGTGGCTATCATTCTGCCTGTGTCTTGGCGTAGCGTCCTTTCGGTGGGGGCGGGGAGAAGGGTCCGGATTCCCGTTAACAAATGACCAAAGGTGAGTAAAGAAGAAAAGCAGCGTGAAGCCGCCGCTCCAGGACTGGCCCGGAGGTTAAGCGGAGGTATCCGAAGCGGCAGCAGATCAAAGGCCCGGTGGAGTTTCGTGACCGAAGGGGAGAGGTAGCCCGTAGGCACCACCAGAGCTCCACCTCTCTTCCCTCGACCCTGCATCTCGGTCTCCGAAGTAGAGAGAGCTGACAAGCATGGGCTCTGAAGGACGGCTGGATGTCTGGGTTCAAATCCTGACCTGGGGGTTGTTTCTTTGCAAAATAGGCATAATTATATCACCTACCTTATAGGGTTGCTATGAGGGTTAAGAAGGAGCCCTGGTGGCGCAGCGGTTAAGAGCTCGGCTGCTAATCTGTTGGTGGTTCCAACCCAGCAGCCGCTTGGTGGGGAGAAAGATGCAGCAGTCAACTCCCCTAAAGATTTACAGCCTTAGTTCTACTCTGTTCTACAGGGTCACCTATAAGTCGGAAGTGACTCCACGGCAACGGGTTTGGTTTTGGTTACGAGGGTTAAAGAAACCGTGTTTAAAGCGTCTGGCACCGTGCCAAACGCGGACTTCCCCAAAATAATCAGCAGATTTTGCTTTTACTGGCTCCGGGCGCCGGGACTGAGACAGCGTGCTGCGGAGTCTCGGCTTTATTCACCAACTGGGGAAGGACAGCGCCTGGACTGCGGCCCAAGAAGGTGCAGGGCGACCCCCTCCCCCCACCAGGGAACCCGGACAGGGCGCGAAGCGCGGAGACTAGGAGTCTGGGGCCCCAGAGCCCAGGGCTCGCGGCAGCTTTGCCTTCAATCGTCCACCTGTATCTCTTCGTCAGACAGGTGTGGTCCGGGGTCAGGAGGGGCCGGGCAGGGGCCTGGGGCACCGTCTGGCAGCGCAAGGCCGGGCAAGATTCCCGGGGACAGCGCGCGGAGCGAGGCCACGTCGGCGCGCATCTCCTCCACGTCGCGCTTGAGCTTGGCGCGCCGGTTCTGGAACCACGTGACGACCTGCGCGTTGGCCAGGCCCAGTCGCGCAGCCAGCCCGTCGCGCTCGGACGGCGCCAGGTACTTCTGGAAGACGAAGCGCCGCTCCAGCTCTAGCACCTGCTGCGCGGTGAACGCCGTGCGTGACTTGCGCCGTTTGCGGCCCACTGAGCCCGGGCTCAACGCGCCCGGGGCGGGGCGGCCTGTGGGGAGAGGGCGGAGGTCAGCTTCTGACCCGCGGGAATCGGGCTGGGGCCCGGGAGGAAAACCTGGGGGTGGGGTCAGGCCAAGGTGGGCCGGGGGAGGTGTGCAGGGGGCCAGAACCGAGGTACCTTACCCGACCGCGCAGGGGTCAAGCGGAGGTTGGAGGGGTCCAGCGCAGACGAGAAGGCCAGAGGGGCTAAGGTACCGAAGGCAGCAGCCTGAGGGCGTCTTGCGGATGGCGGGGGAGGGAGGGAAGGATGGGAGGAGAGCAGAACTGGCCAGAAAAGGCCTGAAGCAGGGTCAGGCCGTCTGGCGCGGGGCCTTTGAGGCCTTCCGGACCCCACAACTGAGCTGGCCGGCAGGCTGGGGTCAGCACCAGGGGCGGGAGCCGGCCGGGGTCAGTGTAGAGGTAGCTGACGGGGCATGGCGAAGGTAGCAGGAATCGAACCCTGCTCTTCCTTAGCCTCGTGGATCATGCTATGCCGGGCATTTCGTCAGTGACACCAGTTCCCCCTCTTCGAGCCCACAAGGGAGACAGTGGGGGTACAAAGGGAGAGGAAAGACAGAGTGCGGAATCCCGGGCCCACGCTGCGCGGAAGACCTGTTCCTTGCGCCCCCTCGAGAAGAGAGCTGCTCCGCGCCAAGCCTGAGCAGAGCGTGGCTGCCGGGAGAACCTGGAACCTCGCCTCCTAACGCTTTCTGCACCGCCCCTGCCCTAGCTCACTTGTCTACCGCCTGCGGCTCAGGCCTTTTGTCTTCTCTCTGGCCTTTCTCTGTCGCGATTGCCCCGCCTGTAGCGAACGAACCAACGTGTAGCTCAGTTCTCTACAGCCCGGCCCTTCCCCGCGGTGCTGGCGGCCTCCGGGAGCGGCCGTGGTGCTTGGGTACTAACGGAGGAGAGATGAGGAGCTAGGCCCTCAGGAGGCGAGTCCTGGCATGTGGACTGAGAGCAGGGGGCGGATTAGGGTGGCAGGGCCGGGACGAGATTGGGAACCAGGAGGAGAGAGATGGGGACTCGCTGTACCTTCAGAGGGCTGCAGGACGCGCCCGTCGAGTCCGCGGAAAGTTGTACTAGTCAGCTCCTCCAGCGCGCACAGCGGCGATCTGGGACCAGGACCCGACTCGGGGAACTGTGGCGCCAGGGGTGCCCGGCGGGCCATGCGCGGGCCTAGTATGTCTGCGATGCTGAAGGGTGTCCCGGGTGCTCGGGGCTCGGTTCCCGAGCTCATGGCGGGCGGGGCTGTGGCGGTCCCGCGGCCCGCTGCGCTCGGCTCGGCAGCCGCCGGCGCGCCGGTGTGCCACTCCCGATCCGGGCCCCCAGCCTCGGACCCGCCCCTCACACTGGGCCGGAGCCCCGTGTGCCCCTCCTCCTGCGCCCTCCACCCCCACCAGGAGACGCGGTGAGTCTGTAGCGGGTAGAAGTCCTCGCAGCCGTATTTCTACCGGGTGGGGAATTGCGGAAAAGAGAAGTCGGTGGAACCCTGCGCCAGACCACGGCGGCCCTTCCCCGGCGGTCCGCAGACTGTGTGTGCCGCCGCCGCTCCGGCTCATAAACTCTTCTGTGATAAAATTGTTTTCTCTAGCCCCAGCAGCTGAGAATTTGCAAAGTTCCGAGGAGGGGCTCAGAGCTGCCTGCGCTAGGATTCCAGCCATCCAGGAGCAGGTCCCAGCTGCACCGGCCCGTCTCAGGACCTCCAGTCTCATGACCTTGCCCCCTTGTTGCTACCCCACCCCTGCAAGAATGCTCTTAAAGCGGTCCTGGCGGCTGGAAGTGATTAGTGCCGCGCTGGGGGCGCGGAATGGTGGAGGGGAAGGGCGAGAGACTTGGGAGGCCCCCCCCCTCCCCCGGCAGAACGACTGGAGCTTGGGGATGAGACAGGGAAGCAAGCACAGGTGAGTTGACCCCCTTCCACACTCTGGTTGGACTGAGGCTGCTGCTCCACCACAGCTCAGAGGCTCTGAAGAAGTCAGAACACGTGGAGAAGGCAGAAGACCTGGGCCGCAGGAGACAGGACATGGCAGAACCAGGAGTTGGTGCTACTGACCCGAGGAAGCTTTGCCAGTGAGAACCAACCTCCCCATAGGGCTTCGTGCTCATCTGCCCACTCTGTCAGTTGATCAGTCTGTCTTTGTCTCTTTATTAAGTGTCTGCAGTTAGGTACTGGTTCTCCAGCTCTGGAAGGCCCAGAAACTGAGGCGGGGAGCCAGAAGCTGCTGGTCACTGCCTCTGCTAGTCACGAAAGAGTGAGGGGGCAGACTCGACCCAACCAGACCCCAGGAACACACCAACAAGGCCCTCAGGGGGTAGACTTGCCAACTCAGGGACAAACTCAGAGGCCTGGGATATTTATTCCTATTTTACCTGTCTTTCCACACCTATTCTGGTCCTGGGCTTAAACCCCGGTTGAGCAGCCCACAGGCATCCCTTGGAAGAAGGCATCACTTTTAGGTCACAGTGCTGCTCTGGCAGTGGAGGCCTCCCCAAGGCAAGGGTTTAGTTCACATATCACATCCTGTATAGCTGGAGGACTGGAAGCCTAGAGCCTGAGCCCCAGCAGCGAAAACGGAGAATGACTTCCTGGAGGTTTGGGAAACAGCCTTGAACTTGGCAGATCATCCCCCCCCCCCCGCAATCCATCATGTCACCTTCCCTGCAGACCTCTGCACCCCCCACCATTTGTGCAGTGGTCCTCTGTCCACCTACTCCCTGGGGCAAGCGGAGCCTGCAGTTGTGGTGAGGGAGGCTTCCAAACAGGGCTTGGGAGACCCAAGGGGCTGAGCCAAAAGCCCAGGGTGGGGCAAGGATGGGAAGGCACTCTGACAGTGGGACCTACCACCAACTGGGTTGGGGAACCCCAAGTGGCCTGAGGCACTGACCTAGCCAACCCAAAATACACGGAAACACAGGGTCTTCTTGGTTAAGGGCTCCCTCCAACACTGCCTCTCCCTCCCCTCTCCCTCCCTACATGCCAGGACACTCACATAGCTCTGGTGGCCTGAGCAACACACTTCAGCCTGATGGGCCACTGCTAGGTCAGAGAGCAGAGCTAGGCCACAGCGGAAAGCTGAGATGCCTCAGGACCTTGTTAATTGGTTATTAATGGCGGGAAGGGGGGTGTAGGAGGACCGAGAGAGATCTGCCCTCTGAGTCGGAACCATCTGAGTGGTTTCACATAATCTGCAATTAAAGCGAGTCCCAGGAGGCCACTGAAACGGCCCAGCCTCGTCCTGGGCCTGTCACCAAGCAGTCACTGCGACCTTCACTCATCTATCTTCTCTGTGGCTTTTATGTCCGTCTCTCCCTCTGCTCTCAATTACTCGCGTGTGTCTTGGGGAGTGTGAGGCCCTCCTAACCAGCCTTTGTCTTCCCTCCCCTTCTATCTCATGCCCCTACCTTTTCCCCCCTGTAGCAGGGCTCAGGTAACGGGGTTGGGCAGTCCCCAGACGTGAGGGGAGGGAAGGGGAGACTGAGGCCAACGACAGCAGAGGCCAGACCAGGGTCGTCCGGGCGGCCACGAACTAGTCCAGATGATCGCGAGGCCACTGGAGGGGGTTTTCCCCAGCGCAGCCTTTGGAACTCGAGCTGGGGAGAAACCAGATCCGCCGAGGGGGTTAGGAGGAGGGTGAGTGATTAATGAGGGAGATTAAGAGATTAAACCTGGGATCTGGACTGCGGGGGGCGCTCAGCTGTCTCCTCTGCGTCCCCTCACCCCGTCTTGACAGCGCTGGCTCTCGCTCTGCTGGGGCCAGCTGGGATGCTGATGCGGGCTTAGTCCGTGCGCGCCTCCGCCGCCGCAGCTCCCACCCCATGGTCCTACCCTCATTGCGTGCGTCCTCAGACACCCGCCTGCAACGCGTTCCCCGCTCAGTCCGGCAGTCCTTCATGTCTCCTACCTCCCTGGATTCCCCTACAGACACTTCGGGGTCCTCTGCCCCCTTCCCTCCTAGAGATCCTCACATTCAGAACTTCCTTCCGCGGGAAGGCGCCCCAATTCTCATTTAGGGATACTTTCTTACGCCTTGCCTATCACTCCCCTCAGATTCCCGGTTCCTCATTCCCCTAGCCCTGCCCCCACCCTGTCTTTTATTCCTGGACACCCCGCCGTGCCCAGCCCAGACTCCCATGGGGGGGTACCCTCCACCAGGCCCACCCCAGCTCGACGCCCCACTCCCTCGGCCGAGGTCTCGCTTAATAAATGACCCTTCCTCTCGGGATTCCTCGCCACACTCATTCCTCTGAATTCTGTGAATGTGGACGGGAGTGGGGACCCTCAGAATAACCTCCTAGAGACTGTGGACTAGGACAGTCGCAGAGACGTGCTTGCCCCCTTCCTTCGGCAAACTCCATTAACCCAAGTGACAGGGAAGAGGGGTTTGGGAGGAAACTCCGGGCAGAGGAGCTTGGGGCGGGACGTCCATCGGTCTCGTACCCTTTAGAGCTTGTTTTCTCTTTCAGGAAACGTTACTGCGGAGTGAACTGATTTCAGATGCTTAAATTTTCGTTTCTTACTTCTACGGCGGTACGTCCGTGAGCGCTTTTCGGCCCCATACGCTCGCTCGCAAAGAGCTCTGCGCGCCGGCCGCCAATCCCCGGGATGTGCTGGCTGGGATGGGGGAGCGGCTGGATACTCTGACACCACCCGCCCCCCCACACTCTGAGACTCATTCTTCTAGGGAATTCACTTTTCCCCATTCCCCCAAGCCCGGGAAGGCCAAGCTGAGAGACAGACTCAACTTCCCCTGTGTCAGAGGCTGGGGCAAACCTCGGTGCCCCCTCACCAGGGTCCGTGTGGCCGCGGCAACAGTAGGGGTGGGAAAGGGGAACCGGAGCAAGTCGCGGGAGTGGCCCGCCGGGTGGAGATTGATGCCTCCTCGCGGAAGCGGCGAGGCGAAGGGCGCCCCTGGGAGGACGAGCTGCGGAGGCCGTTCCGCGCGTTATGGGCTGCGAAGCCGAGAGAACTGTGGGCCCGATTCGCCCGGCCCTGGCGCGTATCAAGACCTGAGTCACTTCGGAGTCCGCAGCGGGGCAGACCTGGGTGGGGGAAATAGACCCACAGACCGGGGGAGAGCGGCGCGGAGCCCGCAGCTGGTCTGCATCAGCCACCTCGGCAGAGGGCCCGCAGCTGCTGCTGCCACCGCCGCTGACAGACAAAAAGAAGGCTTCGCGGAGCTGGCGCGGGGCGGGGCAGCGCGGATCCCTCGCCTTCTCCGGATCCAGGCATCAGCGCCTTCCGCTGCTCCGTGGTCTCAAACCGTGTGTCATCAAAGGTCCCATCCCGAGGTCTGGTAGTCAGGTCTCGGGCCCTCCAATCTTTAGATGAGGCTTTCTCGACGCTGAGCTGCCGTCAAACCCCACCTGAGGGCCTCGCTCGGGAGGCGTTGGGAAAGAGACCCAGTCGGAGTGCTTCCCAACTTCCACAGCTGCTTGACCTCCAAAAGGTCCCCAGGAGCGTTTCTGCTCTCCCTACCCCCACCCCAGACTACACCTCCGCCGCAGAGTTACTCCTTGAAAACGGTATTTCGCTGAGACCCCTTTGGAACAGCCTGGGTGCCGCGTGCTCGCGTGGGCCGAGGAGCCAGCAGAGCTCAAATTCGGGAGAAGGGAGTGGAGTGCCCTGGGAAAGATATAAATTAATCTAAAACCCCGAAGATATGTACTGGTGTAGAGGTAGGCCCAAATGAAGTGGAAGCAGCTCTGATTCTGGCTGGGGGAGACATTCCTGGAGGAGGTGACACTTAGGTCTTAAAGGATGAGCAGAGCATGGACAAGGGGGTAGGGTACCAGGCGCAGGAGGCCTCGAAACAAGGCAAGAGTTGGGAATCTTGTAGACTGTATCAAGAAGTAATCATGCCAGGTTGGTACAGCATCCCCGCCCTGGTCTTCACGGTCTGCACCGCGCACCCAAGCGCTCTCCCTTGGCGGCGTCTGCAGCCTTTCACGTGCGCCTTCCTCTTGGCCTCGGCGCTTGGTTCGCGCAGAGAAGCTGTGGTTTCCCGGAAGTCCAGGGGAAAATAGCGCCCCGACAGAAGCGGGCGAGCATGTGAGCGAGCGAGCTTAGATCTTCCCCACTTGGGCTCTTTCCTTCAGGCCGTCTTCGCTCTCTTCCCCCCCCCCCCCCCCGCACAGTCCTCTGCCACCGGGCTCCGTGACTACTCACGATGATCCCCTAGTTTTTGGTGTCGTGGAGTCCGACTTCCATCAACTTGACATTTAGGCTATAAACTTGGGTTCTGGCGACTTTTATGCTGCCAGCACCACCCCGCGTGTCCCGAATTCGGCAGCAGTCCCTTTCACTTCTTTTGGAAATTTTTTGCTTAGGCCTCGGCCTGTTACTGCCCCGGTTAGGCGAGTTTGTGGCTACCTCACTGTCTGAGAGGGACTTAGAGCAAGGACATCAGCTGGGTTTATTCCTGGTGTCTAGCGCATGGCCGGCTCATATAGACTAGTGTTTGCTGAATTAGTCAATGGAACTCGCCCCTGGCTGCTTTCCTGTTTCTTGGAGTTGCTTTTGCTCTCCTCTCGACACTAGTTCCTTCTCTTTCTGAACGACCCTCCTCACCCTGCCTTCACCTAGCCCCTCTGTAGGACAACTTGCTGCATACAATATAAACAGCCAGGCCTCCAATCGACAATCCTGAGCCTTCCTACTCTCATCTGTTAGACTCCTTCTCCTTTTAACGCACCGTCATAGAACCATAGCGTAATTCTTTGCATTTTTATTTAAGATATCGCTCTTCTTCATTCCTGCAGAACCCTAGTGATGCAGTGGTTAAGAGCTATGGCTGCTAACCAAAAGGTCAGCAGTTCCAATTCATCAGCAGCTCCTTGGAAACCCATGGGGCAGCTCTACTCCGTCCTATAGGGTTTCTGTGAGTCGGAATCGATTCGAGGGCACCAGGTTTGTTTTTTGGTTCTTTCCTGCAGCAGCCTCACTCAGGCCCCACACCATAGGTACAGCATTCAAGGACAGTGACAGCTCCCCTCCAGAAAGCCTTCCCCTCACCAAAGAGCTGGTGTGGGTAGCCCGGCTTCATGACCTCACCTTCTGAGTTACACGTGTGTAGGGACCTCTCCTTTGGCAATAGTTGAGGGACCATGGACATAGAGCAGAGGTGCTCCTTCACCGTGAAACTCAGAGAATATCTGAGGCAAGCAGGATGCAGGGCAAAGCATAAGCGTGTGGTGGGACACTGAGAAAAAAGATACATTTTTTTTTTTTTAAGTTTTTATTGCAAAAAATAAAGCCACAGTTAATTTTACATAAATATCTGGGGAGGGGAGGGGACAGGGCAGGGGCTTGGCCCCTACCTCCTCTTCTCTTTCACACTGTATTGTAAGAGCAAAGGGGATGGCTGAAGAGAGAACAAGGGGAAGAAGTCGTCAGCCGAAGTGTGCTTGCCACAGGCTCCCCTCAGCCCACCTCTGCCCTGGCCCTGGCTAACCTTGCCAAACCAGCGGGAGAGCCATATCTGCTTCATGGTCATGTGGTCAGGGAGAACTTCATTGTCAAAAAGAAGCTGCACCTAGAAGGGAGGTGGGGGGCACAGTTTTAGGGACTTTCCTCTTGGGCACATGGAGCGTGGTCAGGAACTACCCTGGTGAACTCTAGACTCCGGGTCTCCTTTCTTAGCCCCTTTGCTCCCCGCCCCCACCCCCCTAAAAAAAAACCCTACTGTGGGATAACTCACATGCTGGGGATTTAGCATCAAGCGGTGACACAGGACCCTCCGGAGATGGCGAACCTCAGCTCTAACAGAACATCTGACGTATTTGTTCTGGGGTTGGGGAAGGGAGGGAAGAGGACAAGGCAGGGTGTGTGAGGGAAGAGCCACGGGGAGGTGAGTCTCCTTAGTGAGGCCCTCCCCTCAGCCCGTCTCACCTGCAGGACACTTTTATTCTTGTCTTTGCCAGAACTGGGGGGAAACAGACACAGGTTAGGGATTCCTATCTTTCCCCTTCTTCCCCACCCAGAGCCATGATATACTCTCTTCATGGGAACAGATACTCTCTCACTGCTAGACCTCTCCCCAAGTTCCCCCTTGGCTCTGGGTCATGGGCATTGTCACCGCAGACAGCCCTGGACCTGCCCCTCACCTCAGCCGCTCCAGGCATAGGCTCAGCTGTTCATCATAGCGATAGTAGTGGGCCTTAGAGTGGTCAAAACTGCTGAAGGGGAGGCCAAGGTTGCTTAGGGCTGGCTCTGAGAAAGACAGGGTAGTGAGGAGGTTGGCATGGTTACCATACCCCTCCTTCCTTAAAGAGAGTAAAACTGGGCAGGAGGAATGCTCTGGGGGCTTTCTTTTACCCTCCTGCTGCCAGGGACATACCTTCTCCGCTGGGCTGTGTGACCCGGTCCAAGCCTCGGGACTGGTAGAATTCTCGAATGCGTTTCTCTTCGCCTAGAAGGGGGTGGAATATGGAAGTACAGTACAGTGAATCTTATGAGTGCTGGAATTTGATGGAACTGCTTGGTTTTTCCAAGTCTCACAAGTTTCCTGCCTCTGACGGGGTCCTTAACCTTCTATTGTTCTTTATTAAGAATTCTACCTCATAAACACCCAGTGTGTTTTCCTTCTCTGACAGGTTTCCGCCTCACACAGGGTCCGCTCTTTCAGAGGTTTTACTGTATTAGCCCTCTCTCGCTCTTTGTCCCTCTAGCTATTGTCCCTTTACTTTCACGATTCCCGCCAAAGCCCGTCACCTCAAACTGCCACACAGCATCAGTCTCCAAGTTGTTGTTGTTATGTGCCATTGAGTCAGTTCCAACTCATAACGATGCCATGAACAACAGAATGGAACACTGCCTAGTCCTGCGCTATCCTCCCAATCACTGCTATGTTTGAGCCCAGTGTTGCAGCCACTGTGTCAATCAGTTTCCAAGAGGCTCCTCAAAATCAGGTTGGTCACTCACTATCCTGCAAGCCAGGCACTAGCTTGTACACGATGTCCTGCATGACCCGGTCCAGTTTGAGGTTAAGCAGTGGCTGTGTCTCGTGGATCTTGATGTTGCACATGGGGCAGTACTTGCTGGTTTGGAGGTACTTCACAATACAACTCTTGCAAACTGCAAGAAGAGAAAGGCAGGCTCTCAGGCACTCTGGGAGTCATGTTCATGGGCTGAATAGGGTGCATGGATGATTGGGATAGTAGAAAATAAAGTCTGAGTAGGCAGTACAGTGGCTGGCAGTCAGCTTGGTGGGGACTGGGGCCTGGAGGAGCCAGCTGGGATCCAAGGCACTCACAAGTATGAAGACACTCTGTGATGGTGGTGGCATCTACGAAGTAGCCGGCACACAGGCAGCAGACGATGTGCTCATTGAGGTCTTTGATTTTCACTCGGACCTCCTCCTGCGGACGCACCCTCTGTCACCGATCACCAACGCCCCCACTCCCCTTGCACCTTCTCAGCGTGGGGTGGGGGTCGCCTCTTCTATCAGACCCCACGACCAAGCCCCGATCCCAGCGCCGTCAACACGGGGTTAGGAGCCCGGGACTGACAATCCCCCTCCGCCCAGCAGGGGGCTCCCGGCACAGTGGGGGCTGCCTTCACGTGGACTCGCCCGACCCTCCCTTCCCGGGGGAGACTATATGACGTGGGCGGCACAATGCGCACGCGTCCTAGCCTGAAGTTTGGCAACGCAACAGAAATCGCGCAGGCGCGTTCGGTACCCTGTCTCTGCGCAGGCGCACTGGGCGCCCAGCCAGCCACCGCCCGTCCTCTATCCGCCCCAGTTCGCACCGCTAACCGACCGCAGCAATAACTCTGCCGCCCCTGCACCTCGTTCCGTAGCGGGTCCATCTTGTACACTGACTGGAGCTGGTTCCGAAGCCTCATCGCGATCGCAATCTGGCCCCCCTGAGGAGACGCCATCTTAAAAGCTGATCCCGGCCTGCCACTTCCGGTGCCGTGTGCAGGGCGGGACTTGTCTCCCAGCAACGAGGGCCTAGGTCTTTGTGGATTCGCTAAACCTCTGCAAGGCCCCGCCCATGCCCCTTTCTCCCCGTGTACTCACCTGAGCCCCACTGGCCCCTCCCCCTCCTCAATCCGTAATTAGAGAGTGTGGGGGGGTGCAGGGAGGGGTCATATCTTTTCCGTCTCCGGTAAGAATGTTCATAATAGACCCTACCCGATCTCGGGAGTAACTTTTGGAGCCTGCAAGAGACTGCCCCCCGCCAAAAGCCCCGGCTGTCTCTGCCCGCCACCACCCAGGGTCTTGGTCTCCTGTGACGAGGACCCGGTTGAAGAAGCCCCTCCAGGACCCTGTCCTCGTAATGCCGCCCTTGTCGGCTGATGAGTCCGCATTGCGGAGCTTCACCCAGATGGCGGGCCTTCCCCCCGCTCGGTGGCGGGAGTTTGTCCCGGCTTCGCGAAGTCTCGGAGAGGGTGCCTGGGAGGGGTGGGGTGGGGAGAGACCCCTAGGGACTTGGTAGTGATCCTAGCCCCCCCACCTCCCCTTGCTGCCAGGGATGGGGGGGCAGGCCCTTGTTAATGATGATGATTTAATCATCGGCGCCTGCGGAGGCCTGGGACAGACTAATGCAGAGCAGATGCTGAAGGAGGAGGGGAGAACGACGAGGACACTGCCGCACGCTTAGGCAGCCTGCCTGCGGTAGCATAGGCCCAGCCCCGCACTCTGGGGTAACGCAGGAGACCCGAGAGCTTGTTGCTGCCCTCAGAGTACTTACGGTGAGATTTAAAAGCAAGGTTAAATTTACGGTGAAGTATTGATACCAAGCGCAAGTGGAAATTGGAAAAGGGAGAGATCCCAATGGAGAACTCCGAAAGACTTTCTCGAGGAAGTGGGACTTTGTGTGGATACAGTTTAGAGATGGGGTAAAAGTGTGGTGGAAATAGAGAGGAACGGCTGAGTAGAGGGGAATAACTGGAGATAGACAGGAAGGAGGCCAAGCAGGGACTTAAGGAGTTGAGACTTTTAGCCTGAGGGCAATAAGGAGCTAGCCAATATTTTGAAGGGAGGGAGTTACCCTATGAAATGAATATTTGGTTCAGTTATCATCAGAGTGAATTGGAGTGAAGAGGCAAGAAGTTACGACATTAGTGATTTATTAATCGACTACTTCCCACTGGTCCAAGCCGTCATCATGTCAACTCTGGATGATTGCAGTGGCCTCTTGACTGCCTTCCTTTCATCCACCTCTTTAATCTATTCTCAGCATGGCAGCTCAGAGAGATTCTGTTAAAACATAAAATGGGCACGAGGAACATTTTTTGAGGTGATGGATGTGCTTATTATTTTGATTGTGGTGATGGTTTCATGGGTGCGCACATGTCAAAACTTATAAAATTGTACACTTTAAATATAGTAGTGCAGTTTCTTGTATGTCAAATATACCTCAAGAAAGCTGTTAAAAATAAAATGAATAAACCAGATTGTTTCATGTCTCCAATAGCATCCCTTTTCAATCAGAATAAAAGCCAAAGTCCTTAGAATGGTCTTCAAGGCCCTGCATGACCTCTCCCAGACACTCAGTCTCTGTATCCACACTGGACCCTTCACTGTTCCACAGACACACCAGGATATGCTCCTGCTGTGTCCCTACCTGAGTTGCTTCTTGCTCAGATATCCAAATGACTCCTTCCACCACTTCAAGTCTTTACTCAAATATCACCTCTATGAAGCCATCCCTAGTCAGTTTACCTAAATCACAACCCTTGACCATTTCACTTCTTATCCCTCTTCCTTGCTTTAATTTCTCCTTTGCATTTATTATTATATATACTACATATTTTTTATGTAAGCTCCTCAGTGGCAGGGACTTCTTCCCTGTTGTGTTCACTGCTGTATCTCCAGTGCCTAGAACAAGTGCCAGACACATAGTAGTCATTCAGTCTAAGTCTTCTAGATGAACAAATGAATGAATCTTAGTGGTGGTGATGAAGGCCTAGATTAGGATTTTATTAGTAATAGAAATGGAAAGGAAGGGCTGTCATCTGAAACATTTCAGAGGAAAGTATAACAGGAGGAAATAGCCAGGCACTTGGTTTGGGGCCTGGATGAGAGGGTGAATGAGGTGCTTAGGAGGGGAGCATGGCCTCTAGCCTGTTGGACTTAAGGTGGCAACCAGAAAGGCACATGGAACTGTCCAGCAGGCTAGGAGGACAGTGGGGCTGGAGCACAAGAAGTGGTAGGACCAGGGATGGAGGTCTCGGAGGTGTCTAGGTGGATGTAAGAGTTGAGACCATTGGAATGGGTGAAACCTGAGCAGATGTAGACAGAGATAAAGAAGGCTGAACTCTGAGCTCTGAAGAATATTCACAGTTTTAGTGGAAGAAGGAAAGCCAGTGGAGGAAAGACAGCAGTGGCTACGAAAGTCCAAAGATGCAGAATAAGACAATATTACGGAAGCCAAAAGAAGGGGCATTTCAAGAAATAGTTGGTGATCAATAAAGTAAACTATGTCAGAGAATTGACGCTGGGCCCTGGAGCTCTCTGAGAAAGGGTCAGCATAGCCAAGCCAGCTTGCAGTGGGTTAAAACAAAAACGATGAGGAAATGGAGGCAGTGGGTGTGGGCAGTAAAGAGAAGAAAAACACAATTTCTCCAGAAGAGCCAGGCGAAGATTTTTTCCAGATGATGGAGACCTGAGACAGTTGGGAGTGGGGAGGACTGACTTGAGGAGAGAAATGATGATGTAAGAGTGGGAACCATCACTGAAGGAAGGACACTGCACCACCAAGGGCAGGAAGGAAAAGAAGGAGCCAGAGGCCGTGCCTGGAGTACGGCCTCTTCCTGTGAAGCTGTAGGCTCTGAGTTGAGAAGAGTTGAGGACTACATGCTCCTAGGATATGGTAAGACAGATCCAAAGCAGTGTGTGTTGGGGTGGGGTGGGGGGCGGTGTGTGTGTGCCTCCATCTTCAACATGAATTAGCAGGAGACATCCATTCCTGAGAATCAGAGAGGTGAAGGCCAGCAGGAACTGGGTGTTTAAAGTCAAGCAGAGAAATTCCTAGGACTGTGGCTGACAGAACTGGTGCCCTCTGTTCTTGAAATGGGCGCTGGAATCCTTTTTTTTTTTTTTTTTTTTTAACTCCCTTGAAGATTTGTATGTATTACTGGATTTGTGATCATTCTCCTGAAAGGATCAATTGGAAAATCTCTGGGTGGCAGTGCCACCTGTGCTGACTTCCAAAGGCATGAGTGTACAGTGAGCCAAGTCGGCACGGTGCTGCCTTTTTCTCATTCACTGATTCACTCATTGATTCTTTCAAGAAGGATTTATTCAGGTTGGTACCAGACAGGTCCTGGAATCAGACACACTGTGCCCACCCCCTGCTTAGAGGCTTAGTCCTCAGAGTGTGGAGAAGGACCCTGAATCTGCAGGCCAGCCTTCCTGCAGAGTCTTTGTCTCTTTGCTGTCTCTCTAGGCTCTCTGTTCTCATCCTGTCCTATAACTCATACTATTTCTGAGAGTTTTGCCTCAACAGCAGAGGTCTCATGCTCCCTAGCATCTTCCGTCCACCTTTACTGCCGAGAAAGGGCGCTGGAACGTCTGTAAAGGGCTGGGTGAGGTGATAAGGTTGTTGTTCTTCCCCAGCAAAATAAAACGCATCTGCCAAATTGGCAGAAGGCGGCTCTGAGGAGGGTGGGAAGAGCTGGAGGAATCAGAAAATGGAGGCCGGCAAGGTTGGGGGGAGGATGTAACCTACTATTAATGCTCCCCCCTCCCGTCAGGGTCCACCCTCTTCAGACTAAGACTTCCCCTGAGAGCACTGGGAGGCTGGCGGCTTTGGGTCAGAAGAGAGCCCACCCCCTTCTTTCTCCTCTTTATCTTCCTGCCCAGATACCCAAATATTACTCCTGGTTCCCAGGAGAGAAAAGACTCCCTCCTTCTGCCCCAGGCGTCAGGCTGCCAGTCCATCTGCTGGGGAGAAAGAAGGGGCAGTCTTTCCCAGGGGATCCTGGAGAATCAATGGGAAGATCCATGCTCCCAGGGAGACCCATCTAGGAAACTTGGAAGGCATTTTGGCTCACGTGGAAACCCACGGCTTGGAGCTGAGCACCGAAGTGGGCTGGGGGGCGAGGGATGGCGCAGCGGGGCGGGGTCCTCAGACCACCGTGTGTCTGAGGCAAGCGGAGTTGCTCGTCCGGTGCCCACCCGCCCCGGGATGGTAGGAGCGCCCCCCTCCCCGCGCCCAGTCTCACCGGCTCTGAGGCGCCAGGGCCCCCCCGGGGCCGGGCCGGGCCGGAGAAGGTAATGTAATTCCGGCCCAGCTAACCCGATTATGGCGGCCTGCACCGGGCCGGGCGGCGGCGGGGGCGGGTCTAAGGCGCAGGGGCCCGCCCGGCGGGGGTCCCATTCCGGGGAAGACTAGGAGTTCACACACTTCCAGCTCCCGGTCCTTGGCCAGAGGTCACAAGGTCACCGAGCCGCTCCAGTCTCCCTTCACCTTCCTTCTCCGCCACGCTCCAGGCGCACTTTTGGGGGCTTGGGTGGGGTGGAGGGTCTATGGGAAATAAGGCGGCCAGGATCCTCAGAAGGCCTCGGTGAGGTCTCACATGTCGCCTGTGGCGATTTTACCCTCTCACCTTTGCGGGGTGGGGGGCATGTGAGGATAGACTTCCTAGGCGCCGAGGGTCAGAATCCCGCTGCGTGCCCCCTGCATTTACGATCCAAGGCAGAACGCCCGCCCCAAGCTCCCACCGGCCTGGGCTGGCCGGGGTTGAGCCACGGTTCCTCTTTGCTCCGATTTCGGAAAATCGAAATTCTAAGAAACACAGGGCACCAGTTACTGGCGCGCCCCGATGGGGCTGCGGGGCCCTGTGGGAGAGGCTGGAAGGTGCACCAGCATCACTGGCCCGAAGTGGTTGTCCCCCGCCCTAAGGCCACCGGACGCGTCCTGCCACCCCCTTCCCACACCTGTCCTCTTCCCCGGGCCTCCAGCTCTCCGGGTGCCGTTCAACAGCCGCCTCCCATCGCAGCTGGGATGCCACAACGAGATTTGATCTTCGAGGGCACTTAGGCGGGGACCACAACGAATCCGGGAGTCGGCAGGCAGGACTCATCGGGCGGCGAAGAGTGGGGGCTGGGGAAGGAGGCACCTGCCGAGGAAGCCGGTGAGGCCGAGGAAGTCCAAAGGCGGAGGCCGGCGAGGATGGAGGCTCCGTAAGCATCTCGGCTGACTCAGCGCGGAGCATGGTTCCTAACACCCTAGCCACCTCTCCCCCACCCCCATCCCCGCGGGTCAGTCTTCCTTACGCTTGGCGCAAACAGGCGTCTCTTCCCCTTTAACAGGCCCGGCCCCGCCCCTGCCCTACCCCCAGCCCCCACTGCCCACCCGGGGCCGATCTGTCAGTCACTGCCCCAGCCAGAGCCCGCTAACCCTCTCCACCCTGGACTCCGGCAGCGGCCCGGCACCCCGGCGTCCATCGGCGGCTCAGAGCCAGCAAGGGCACTACTGGGGCCCCGGCAGGCCGCGCTCCCCCGGGATGAGAGTCCCTGCGCTGACGGTGGACAGCGGAGCGCAAGGGCTCGGCTGCTCCCTGTGCACAGGGATGCTGCTGTCACAGGGGCCCAGGCAACCCGCGGTGGCCAGCCCCGCGGGTCCCTGAGGCTGCCGTCCCGAGCGCACTGCCGCTGGGCTCCTGGAGCTGACCAGGGCGCCCTCCCCAACCGCCGAACCTCCTGAGGTCCTCTGGCCCGGACCCATGGAGCCGGCGGTGCTGGCCCAACACAACCTCCCGCACCACGAGCCAATCAGCTTCGGCATTGATCAGATCCTGAGCGGCCCCGAGCCCCCGGGGGGCAGCCTAGGCCCCGGCCGCGGGGGCCCGGGTCATGGGGAGAATGCGGCGTACTCGGGTGGATTCCACGGAGCCTCAGGTTACGGCCCTGCGGGCTCGCTGGCCCCGCTGCCCGGCAGCTCCGGCGTGGGCCCGGGCGGCGTGATCCGCGTCCCGGCGCACCGCCCGCTGCCCGTGCCACCGCCCGCTGCAGGCGCGCCTGCGGTGCCTGGGCCCTCAGGTTTGGGCGGCGCCGGGGGCCTAGCCGGACTCACCTTCCCCTGGATGGACAGCGGTCGCCGCTTCGCCAAGGACCGGCTTACAGGTGAGGTTGTCCGGCCCCTCCAGCCTCATGCCCCAGGTTGACACGGTTTCCTCATCTCTGATCCTTTTTCCCTCAACCCAAGGTCTCCTTTCATATGTCACCCCACAGCTTATCCCAGGGGATCCTCGCCTAAGTAGGATCGCTCTGTCCCGCCGCCGCTGAGAGGCGATGGGGAGGGAGCTGCCGTCGGTGCCCACACCTCCCTCTGCATTCCCACCGTCCACACCGCGGGGAGGGCAGGGTGAAGTTATGGGGGCCATCTCTCCCTCACTCTAGGGGAAGGGCCGTTTCTTCCGAGGCCCTTTTGGCCTATGGACCTCCACTGATGCGGGGCCAAGCTTGGGGCCCGGGTAGGGTAGGGGTCCGGGAGCTCTGCGGCCTGAGCAACCGCGCTCTCTTCTCAGCGGCCCCCGCAAACTCTGCCCTGGTCCTTCGTCCTCCCCGCAGCTGCGCTCTCGCCCTTCTCCGGGACGCGCCGCATAGGTCACCCCTACCAAAATCGGACCCCTCCGAAGCGGAAGAAGCCGCGCACGTCCTTCTCACGCTCGCAGGTGCTGGAGCTGGAGCGGCGCTTCCTGCGCCAGAAGTACCTGGCCTCCGCCGAAAGGGCCGCGCTGGCCAAGGCCCTGCGCATGACCGACGCACAGGTCAAGACCTGGTTCCAGAACCGGCGCACCAAGTGGCGGTGAGGCGCGGGCTGGGCGCGGGCGGTCTGGGGCCTGGGGCAGGTCCAGGTGGTGGGGAGGCATCGGGTGGGCAAGGGCGGGCTGGGACTCACGGCAGGACCCAGTGGCCTCGCCGACCCCGCATCTCCGCCCGCCCAGGCGCCAGACAGCAGAGGAGCGCGAGGCCGAGCGGCACCGCGCGGGCCGCCTGCTCCTGCACCTGCAGCAGGACGCGCTGCCGCGGCCCCTGCGGCCGCCACTACCCCCGGACCCGCTCTGTCTGCACAACTCTTCGCTCTTCGCGCTTCAGAACCTGCAGCCCTGGGCGGAGGACAACAAGGTGGCCTCCGTGTCGGGGCTCGCCTCGGTAGTGTGAGCGACGCCCGAGCGCTGTTTTCCAGACCGAGGAGCCGCGTGGAGCTCCGGGCCTGGGTCGGTGGAGGGCGCGGCTGCTCCCTCCCCTGGGCCGGTGGCAGCGGAGCATGTGAGGAGCAGCCGGCCTTGAGGCTATCTTCGAGGGCTCCTCGGCCATCTGCCGGCTCCCAGGCTGACGTTGCACCACCCTCACCGCGCCCTCAGACTCTGCCTTTCCCGCCATTTCTCACTTAACGGCTGATAACGCGGGATGGAACCGGAGGCACCTAGTGGGCGGGACCTTCACGCTGGTAGCCAATGAGGTGCTGGGAGGAGGGCGGGCTGGCCAATGGGAGCTGCTCTTCTGAGAGACTCGGGATTCCGCCCGGTGGGAGGGTCGGGAGCTCGGGTTTTGGCAGCGAGCAGCGGCCGAATGCACGCCGGCTGGGTCTGTAAGCTGTGAAGAAAGGAGGACGCCAGCGACAGCGGAGTAATGAAGGAGGTGCCTCACCAGAGCGCCAGAGTCTGTGTCAGGAACTAGAGGGTTGTCCACGCTGGGCATCTCATCCCTCAGATGTAAAATAATCGCTAAGGATTCCTTCCAGCAACAAGACTTTGAGCCTCATGTCGTGTGTGTTCGGCCCACTGACCACGTCCTCCCACTTGGTCCTCACAACGCGCTGGGAGGTAGGCTAGACCGATATTTATGCACCGAACGAAAGAAAATCTAGGAACACAAATCTGGCTCTGGTATCTACCGAGAGGGGAGAGGATGAAGTGCTGGACAAAGTTAACGGGCCCAGTAGAATGAAGATGAGCAGAATTTGGTGAATAATTTGGAAGGGACAGGCCTAAGAAGTGTCAAAGATAATTCCAAGGTTGGAAATGTGGAGAATCAGGAAGGCAGTGGTGCTGTGGATGATGTAAGGGGAAATTGGGAAGACTGGAGCAAGGGTTTAACTCTGTAGGCAAAACTAGATCCTAGTCCTAGACAGAATAAATTCTGGAAAAGTGCCTTTGGTGGAAATCAGTTGACATCCACATAGGGGTGGAGATAGATGGAATGAAGAGAACAAATAGAATCTGCAAGGTAGGGAACTCTGAGAGGGAACTCTGAGGAAGAAAGCAGAATCCCAAGGACTTTCTTTCCACCAGATTCTACAAACATATTTCCAATGTGCAACATACTGGGGGATACCACAGTTAATAGTCCAAGGGAAGAAAAGGCGAAGTAGTGCCCAGCTTGAAGGAAAGGAGGGCATGATGTCTCTAAAGTTGTTAGAAAGACTTCAGCTTGTGGGTGGGCCAGGGGCTGCTAAGAAGCATGTTGCTGGAAAGTTGAGAGTTAGGCAATGATTGCAATAGATATAAGGCTTACAAAGAAGCAGGATTTAAGTTGTATGAGGACAAAAGGGAATGTTTTGTCTGATTCTGATAGCACCCTCATGTCTTTCTCCCCTGGAGGCTGGAGCAGTGTGATAGAGCGAATTGAGCTATAGGTAGGGCCAGAGCCCAATTGTAGCCGAACTATTTATGTTCTGTGCTACTGACAGCTACATCAGTCATAATGCAAAGGCTTGACCAGGGGTGGGAACCAGGCAGGAGGCTATGGCTAGAGGAGTTGGCCCTGTGTCTTTGATAGTATCATCTCTGACTCATGGATGTATATGGTATGCAGAACCAAACTCAAATTTGGTGTCATAGAAAAGTCTTTTATAGAGAAACAGGAAGCATAAGGATGGGTTTGGCTTAAGTTGGGGGAGGAGCATGTCACTTCCTCTCCAATGAACAGGAGACAGCCAAAGAAAGGGTCCTACACTGTGTAGATGGTAGCTTACCCTATTCCCTCTACTCCCAGCACACCATTTCTTGGGACTCATGCTCCAGGCTTTATACTTGACCCTAAACTTTGGACTTCTAAACCTGGCTGTCTTGGTGATAGCCCAAGGGAAGATCTAATGTGACGAGATGAGGTCAGTTTCATTCCTTAGGCAGGTCACTGCAGGACACAGGCATCTCCGAGTTCCTGGGTGGAGGAGGATTCACTCCCTGCTGAAGAATCTGTCATTTCTTCCCTCAGCTGGTTGAGGAGGTCTCTACTCTCACTGGGGGGTAAGTTGCTCAGGAAGTATGGGGGTGCCAACTCTACCAGCCTGACAGAGAGAGTCATAATTAGATGATCTATCTTGTCTTATAATGTAGGCTCTTACACTTCTCATCACCTCTCCCACAAACCCTCTCCCCTCAAATCATACCTTACCACAAACCACAGATTCCCTCCTCTTCTTAACTCCCCAGCCATAATTTGGTCCCAGGGAGAGGAATGGGCAGTGTAGGAGGGGTGTCAGGGAACTCACATCTGTGGTTGAATCTCAGAAACAATGGAAAGGCAGTTGTCCTTGGAAATGGAGAAATTGTGGTAAAGCACCCAAGATGGGGGTCTGGCCGGGGCCCTGCGGCTTCTGTAGCAGCAGTATGGGGAGAGCTGGGCCACATGCTTATGCGTTAGGAGCAGGTAATTTCCAGTCCCATCTGTGTCTCGGGCCACCTCATTGAAAGGAGAGAAGTTGAATAAGTGAGAGGGGAGAGGCAGACAGTAGAAAAAAGAAAAGGGGGCTAAGAATTAGTAAGGGTGGGGAAAGTATCAAAGTGAAGTATTATCTCTAAGTTTTGTGTAGTCCCTACCGTACCATATGGCATTTCCATAGTTCTTTGTACTTGAAAGCCTCAAAGGAAAAGTCTCTCCTGGTTGCAAAGAATCCTTCAAATAGCTACCTGGACCCCAGTTTCAGAGATGGCATACCAATCTTTGCTCCCTCTGTCTCTACTCCTTTTACACCCTCACCCCAACCCTTTCCCCTAACCTTGAGGAAGTATCCTGACACCAGTGCTTTCTGAAGGTCTCTGCGGTTCTGCTCGGAGCCAAAGGCTGGCTGGGACAAGGGAAGTTCAATTCGCTGCATGAGTTCTAGAAGTTCTCCCCGAACTTTACGGGCTTGGAGCAATGCTGCCCAGTTTAGACCCCGAGCCTGGCACCAAGCCTCATCCTCCCCACCTAGGAGAAGAAAGGGAACAGCTGCAATTAAAGACCCTGAGACCCCCAAAAGAACCCAACCCTTGGCCACAGGGCCTCCTCCTCCTTGGCACAGAGATCTGTCAGCAGGTTGCACACCACTTCCCATCTTTGGGGAATCTGGAATTCCATAAGAGGGTTCAGAATGAGCCACTCACTCTGTATAAAGGCTTCATACACCTGGATCAGAGAGCTGTGGTCACCATCTGTGTGCTCCAGGGCACGACGCAGAGCAGCTTCTTCTGCACAGAGCGGGGGACGGGTAAACCCAGGGGCAGCTGGAAGCAGAAGAGAGGAAGGTCATTTTGGGGAATCAGAAAGGACAGCAGTACAGTATTTGCAGAAGGTGGAGCTCTGAAGAGGTAGGAGTTCTCTCTTTGGGGGACTTTATTCAAAACACATTGATAACTACTAGGAGCTATGCACTTTATAAGACATTGAGGATAAATAAACAGACCATTTCTGCCCTCAGAGTCAGCTTAGAGACCGGTGGAAGAGAGCAGCAAGTAAGCAAACTTGATAAGCATGATAGGTGTGTGTTTGTGGTACTCTGGATGAAAAGAGGAGGGGTAGGTACCTAATCCAGGCTTTGGGTGGGGAGGGAGTGATGTGGAGGAAAAGAAAAGGACCCTAGGGCCAATATTTGAAGTTTGAGTATGAATTAGCTCAGTGGTGAAGGGGTGGGGCAGAGCTAATATTCTAGACTGCAGGAACAGCATGGCACAGAAGTAGTATCATGGCATATTTGGGGAACTGCAAGCTGCTTAGTATGGATGGAGGGAATGGCCTATGTGGCAGAGTGGCAGAAGATAAAGCTGGAGAGGTAGATATAGGCCAGGTCATGAAAGGCTGAATGTGCTGTGTGAAGGAGTTTACATTCTGTCTTGAAGGTAAAGAATAGCTGTTGAAGAGTTCTTCAGTAAGGAAGTCCCACATGTTTCAAAAAGCTAGGAAGCTACTTAAGGACTTCAGCTGAGCAGTGATAAGGATCTAACACTGGTACTGGCAGTGAGTGTGAAAAGGGGCAGATGAATTAAATTTTTTAAAAAAGAAACTGGAGAAAGATTAATCTAGAATGGTGGTAGTGGAGCTGCAGAGATGGTGGTGTTATCTGAAACTTGAAGATCCAGAGGAAGGAAAAGATTCTGTGGTGGTGGTGGTGGTGGTGAGGGAGTAATTTAAGAGAGTGCATACTCATTTGAGGTACTGTGGACTGTCCTGGTAGAAATGAGGAGTCAGATATATAAAGGTTCAGAAGAATGGTATTGTCAGAGAGATACAAGGTTTGGAAGTTTTAAGTATAAAAGTGGCAGTCCAAACCGTGGATGTTGATGAGCATGCTCAGATAGTTTAGGGAATGAGAAGACAAAAAGGGCAAGGATAGAACACTGAGGACCAATTTACAGTGGATGAGCAGAGGCCCAACAACCCGAGGAGGAGATTAAGGGAATGGCCAGAAAGGTAGGATAAAAACCACAAAGAGCAGTATCACAGAGGCTCAGGAAGGGGACAGTGTCAAGGTGGGAACTGGTCAGCACTCTCAAATGTCAAAAGTAGTTTACGAAGAATAAGGGCTCAAAACGTCCACTGGATCAGGCTGCTGGGAGGTCACTGGTGCACTTAAAGCAGTTTCAGTGGGTGGTGGGTCCTGAAGGAGGAAAGCAGTGGGCGAGGAACACATTAGATAGAAAAGAATAGAGATTAAGCTGTAGAGCTAAAGAGGAGTATAGGGTTGAGGAAGATGGGTATGTAAGTTTTAATAATAACAGCTGGGAGAGATGTAAGCTCTTGAGGGGCAAGAACCAGCAGAGAGAAAAGGCTAAAGGCGCAGAGGGGAATAACAGATTAAACCTGGTTCTTTAGGTGCTGTAACGTGGGAACTAGAGCACAGAGGAAAGGGCTAGCCTGAGGAGCAGCAAAATACAAGAGGAAGGCCTAGAGCCAGAGAGAGGATTTGTACCAGTGAGCATGGCTGCGAGGGTAAGCATCTCATCCACACAGTCAAACTCGCA